AATCAAAGCCAATAAAAATGGGAAGCCTAATTGTGGTGTTGGAGATAGTAACTAGGACCAATGTACAGAATTGGACTCAACTATGTGATGAATGGCACAATATAGAAGTGGTTCTGGTCAATGAATCTTCCATGGTAAGTCTTCAGTTAATATGTGAGGTGGATCATGCTCTGTGTTACGCCAAGGAAGAGCCATCTGGATGGTTTGGAGGGATTGCTGTGATATTTGCAGGTGATTTTTATCAATTTCCGCTGATTAGAGGAACACCATTATTCACCCCAATATCACCTTATGCCAGCACAAGTGATCAAGAGTTATTGATGAGACTGGGCTGACTTGCTTGGAAGGCTGTCACAATGGTGATAAAATTGGATAATGACCAGACCAGGGATTGAACCTGGAACCTTCTGGATACATGCCAGCTGCTCTACCAATTGAGCTATATGGCCAAGGTTATACAATATAGGATCTTAAACATGACATGCAACCACGGACGTTTTACACAGTATAGCTGCTGCATACTGGATTGGCTTACAAATCAGAGGTATTATCCTATGGGGTATTGGTATGTCAGAGTATATTCTAACAAATGGTAGTGACTCTGACAGAACAGCAACGTATGAAAGACGATATTCCATATGGTGAGGCCATGCTATGTTTCAGAAATCAACAGTGTATGTATAACAATGTTGATCTCTTTAATAGTCGTGCTATGAAATTGATTGAAAGTCCCAATGGGGTCAAAATGAAATTAGGAGATAATGTGTCAGTTATTGCTTCCACCAATTCCCTCAGAGAAACCCTGAATGATATCAAAGCAGCAAATAACTGCAATTCTGACTCAGCTAATGTCCTTGTGGCTTGCACAGCTTTTGGAAAGTGCACCATACCTGGAACACCAGTATCCAAAGAAATTCAAGAATATCTCTTGCATCTCAATATGTTTGCCTTTTTTGCTTCTGGGGCATTTCCAGTATTGATCCCCCTATATATTGGTATGTCTGTTATATTATGTTTTAGTAGTATATCTACTGAACTGGGAATTACCAGTTGTTCTCAAGGTTTTGTCTGGAAATTTGACACGGCATGTTGTCCATTCAGTTTCACCTACTGTACATGTGTTATGGGGGAATTTCCTCAAAGTGCGGTACATTTCAGTGGTCTACCTTAAGGTTATTTTCTAATAACACCTGTTTTTTGGGCTTTTACTACATTGGTACCTAATAATGGAGATGGGAAATTGACACAAATTATCTGAGTGACCCGACTACAGATCCCCATACAACCGGTGTTTGCAGTCACAGAACAGTCAACACAAGGCAAAATTTACTGAAAATTCTTGTCAACTTACACAAAGGTGGGTTTGCTACATATGTTGCAACTTCTCATGCTAGCACATGTCAAGGTCTATATATTACACAACCTGTGACCATTCAAGAATTAAACAAATCACTCCCTCACAACCTAGAAGCGGAAACCAAACAGTTTGAAGCACTGGAGCACAATACATATGTTCGCTTTTGTATAACGGACACTTCTTTAGTATCTGTTCCAGATCCTGAGTCTGAGCATTGAAAGCTTCCCTCCACTTTTGTCGCAAAGTTCCTCCACGACACTCATACCCCTTCACTAATTCCAAAACAAAAAAGACCAGACATCAAACTAGTACAGCCTATCACCCAAGCTTGTTCTTCCACAGCATCTGACATGACTTCAAGTGTGGCTGGAAAATGTAGATGGATGCTCAATGGTGTGGCAACTTCAGCAACCTCAACAACTTCGACTTCTATAATACATGAGCCATTTATATATTGCCCAAAAAACTGATAAGTCAATCCCCTGAGAGGTGTTCATGTTCTACTTCACTTTTATTTGTTATCTACTTCTTCACCAAAGTTGCCACTCCCTGCCACAGCTTTGCCTTTTTTGCCTACAGACATAGCTTAAATAACGGTTGTGACTTGCATAATTAGTCTTATGCGTATGATGCAGCTTTTATGTTGTTGTTTTACACTCATTGTCTAGCTACCGATACATAGAAAGAACAATGGAAATCACTTGGACCACTATCCTCACAACTAACACTTGCTTTTAATCAGCTACTTACATCAGAAGAAAAATTATTCTTGACAACCCTCTTCAATACCCTGCACAACAACTTCTGCAAATCTCTTGCAGAACATAGTCCTTGTTATTTTTGCCATGCTGGTACTCAAGGTATGTCTGCCTGTGAAACTATTTTATGTGCTGACAGAAAATGATCCTTGGGAGACATCTGCAGTTCTTTGCTGCCCAAAAGGTTGCTTCATCCAAAATGATATACATTTAATTTGTCACAGCTTACCCACAATATGCAACTCCCAACTATGGTTGAAACTCTCCTCAAATGCTTTGGTAAGTCCGACTGCTTTGTCCTGTTCCTTACAAATCTAGATTTATCTCTGTCTCTATAATACAAAGGGCTTCCTTTGACAAGTCTTGCAAATCCACAGTGAGCACTTCTTGTAATTATTTCTTAGACTCATGTATTTCACTATAGCACATTCTAATAATTCTGGTGTTTGAGATGGACCCCATCTTGTCTGTAATAATGCTACCTCTTAGTCTAATTTCTATTCCACGGGCAGGTGGTGAAAAAACTCTGTATGAGATCTGTAGTGCAATATATTTAGGCAGATACCATTTTGCAGCTAGGATGTTTGATCGTGATAGCAAGATATGGAGATATGATGGACAATGTAACAAAGGTTTCCCTGTATTGGAACAGAATGTATGTGACTTGACGCAATTACATTCTTATCCTGCTCATCTCTACGTTTACACCATCAAGGCAGATTCCCCCTGGTGATTTGCATTCAATGCCTGTTCCCCATACACGTCTGTGACTCCCTGAACAGTTTAAAAAGGTTAGTTATTGTGCTCTATATCTACATCCCATGTAACTCAAACTGTTTTCTACCCTAATGTCTTCTTCCCTTGTCAAATGTCCTGCTACACTGGCTGCTGATGATGGCAATGTTTTTGTGTCCCCTCCCCTCACTCCCTCTTTTCCTCCTGGAGAAGACTGGCTGTCTCACTGGGGGCAAAATTCTATGCTATATATGAAAACATTTGAAAACCACTTGAAAAATAGAGACTTTGTTTCTTAGCAAAATTTCTTTACATAACATTGGAGATATTTTGCTCACCATTTTTTCAATATTTTCACATGAAACATTAGGGAAAACATCCAAAATATATTGTCACAAAACATTTTTCCACTCAGTGTAGATGTACTACTGATTACCAATGTTTTGCGAAAATATATTTTGTATATTTTCCCCAATGTTTCTTAGGAAAACATTGGAAGAATATGGAGCAAAATATTTCCAATATTATTATTCAAAGAAACATGCTAGGACACAAAGTCTATATTTTTCAAGTGTTTTTTACATGTTTTATTATAAAACATAGGATTTTGCCCCCAGTGTCTACTGCTCCCTCTACCCCAATCCGTGTGCATAAACCCAATGTCAACAATCCTCTGTGGCTCACTCTTCAAGCATGTCTGTGTTGTGGTCTAGCTGGCAACATCTCCACTGTAAAGTTCAACATTCCTAATATTCAAGACACTAATGGTGTGCTCATCCACCACGGCAAATATCACACCAAGCTTCTTGAGTTTTCAACAGTGGAAGCTGAGATTTATCTAAAGTTGTATGTCTCATTATTTCCTTCTAGCTATATATAACTTTACATATTCTAACATGATTTAGATGGACCATTTTGGGGTCTTAGGATAAAAGCAAAAGCAACAAGTCTCATTCTGACACACCAGTTCCATTGACATAGAGTGCTTGAAAAGAAAAAAATGGGGAAGACTTCAAGCACTTGGAAGGGTTGAACTTGGATATTGGTGATGTGGCTATTGATGGCAGGAAAAAAAAATGCAAAGCTAATGGTGACACCAGCATTCTTATATCTTCCACCAAGAAAGGCAACTACAGACTGCCTGCTGTGTCTGAAAATTTAAATGCTTTTGAGATGGTGAACTAACTACCACACTGCATTTTTTTTGGAACTTTGAGTTTTTTGGCCATGTACAACAAATTGCTTGACCAAATGTTGTTGTAACGGGGCTAAAACACAAATTGATCTGAAACAATACCTGTCCCACTAACCTGGTGCTAGTCATAAGATCACGCTCACTGCTCATGCAGACTCCATACCTATCCACTCCTTATTACTGTGTCATCCTCATGGCGTCCCAAAATGACATAGAAAATTACAAATAAAACATAAAATTTTGCATCAGCATTTTGATTACATGAAAGAAAGAATGTGGAGCAACATGGAAATTCTATTGTTATTAAAGAGCAGTCAGAAAATTTAATTTAGTCAATGTGAAATCACTTCAAATTGTTTCAAATTCAACAGAAAGTATTCTAGCTCTACAAAATTTAATATTTTAACAAATATAACTGCAAAACCAAAATATCTCATTTTCTATCTTATTTTCTGATATTGGAAAAATAGGTATTTTAATGGCCGTTTAAGGAAGGGCCAAAATAAGATATTTTGAGACACTTGAAACACATCGCCCACCCATTGCCTGATCATCGGCCAATAGTTGTCCGCTCACTGGGTATCTGCTGCCCTACAATTGCCCCGCATGACAGATAGATACACCTACCTGTACTGCTGTAGAATATAATACCTGAGAAATACTGTACACCGGGAACACAAGCCAGTTGTGCTACCCATCTACTAGGATGGTATTTTAATCGTACATTTCTCACTAGTTTTTCAAAATCATTTGGAGTAAGAACACTGGTGTGAGTGAAAAAGGTATCCCACCATACATTGCAAGGCGTTGTGGAGCTCAGGTGGGTAAGGACAGGCCAAGGAGCTTCCACTGCAGAAGGCAGGGTCTTTGAAGTAACAAAAAATTACCATACATTCATAAAATGGAGAATGGTGTGTGAGTTGTCCCATTCCGTGTCTAAGCCTCCACGCAGTATTCACTGTTTTTCCGAGTCAACTTGTTTGAGCTCTTCTAACCTCTGATGCTCCTGCTCCCTCTGAAGCTCCAGCTCCTGTTGAATTTGGGTGTTCCTTTCTTCAAGCTCTACTTGCGCAGCAGCTGCCAAAGTACTCAAGGATCTCTAATGTTTGTAAGCCTCTCAAGATAACTTCCGTAGTTTGTTGCTAGATGAGAGATCACACGCCCGTTTGTGACTGCAAGGGGTAAATGTGCTTTTCAATTTCCTTTCATCACTGATATTAACGTGAAATTCGCCCTCAATGTCTGATGCTACGGAGCAACAGAGTAATTACACAATTAGAGTAGACACATCACTTACTTTTCTGCTTGGGTGCATACAAAGCTTGCGGTATTTTGCTTGTACCACTGTTAGGTCCATTTGGCATATATTTGTCAATGGACATTGCACTCCCCATTGTCGGTTATGTTGCGGGTTTCTGGAAGGAATATATCAGAAGGATTGCAGAAAGATAAGGAGCCCGGTAGACGCAGCACTCATAAGCTGGATCCAATTTATAAATCTCCCATTGTTTGATTAAACAGTGGACAAGTTTACTGGACGCAAATCAGAGGCAATGGCACATAGTGAATAGAAAAAGTACTAACCCATTGAGATTAAAAACCCGAGGCCAGAGGCCTTCATCATGTACTGTTGGCTCGAGAGTAGCCCCAGGAATATATCTCCATGCAATATTACCAGATGGAAATACTTCAAGGACGATCCTCTTCCATTTATTCTCCCACCCCTTGAAAACAGTGTCTCCACTGTTAGCTATGAACTCATTGTAATCCACAAATATCAGCCTCAAATAAGGATGTTGGAGCAAGCGCAAAGGTTGCGATGGAATAATGATGCTGGGGCAAGGACCATAAAATGATCAAAGATTTATCCTTGAGGACATAATTGCAATCAATTTGTGATGTGAAAACACCGCAGATTGGAAAGGTGATATTAGTAAATCACTAGTGCACGGCACAAGTGAGCGCTAGAAATAAAGTTAATACGAGAGTGGAAGGGAAGCAGATCCTAGTGTGCTGTACAGGAAATGCTAAGCAGGAGAGTGAGTGAATAGGAGGGAGGACAGTATAAACCACTTGATGTTGATACGACTGGAGACAAAAGACACTCAATTATGGCATCAGGGCATTATGAATGATCAACACTCTACATCTACGTAAACCTAAGAGAAAGGTTGGGGAATCAATTGTAACCCTAACCAAATGGAGGTCAGAGCCAATGAGAGCTTAATTTTGATATGAACAATCAGTACAATAGTACTATAGAATAGGCAAAAGTACACATGTGAGAGAGAGAGAACTGTGATGAGATCAGAGCTCATCTCCCACCGAGTGTAATGACAAAAAATTCAAGTTGGGTCAACTGCTTCAAGTTTGGGGGAGAGAGAAGAGGAATATATTGTTGTGGGAAAATGCACATACCTTTTGAATGGATCTAGTGTGCCATGAGGAGCCAGAAGGTTCTGTTGAACAGCAAAGCATAGTTTGCCTTGCTGATTTACAGGGCTGAAGATATACTTGATGCAGCCTTGTACAAGTGCTTTTTGCCTATCACCTCCAGGGTAAAACAATACTTGGCTATTACCCAGATGAGTCAACAACATAGCAAACATCACTCGACCTTGGGCAAAGTGGGCACACAACAGAACATAATATCCTGGCACTAGATGTCTCTGGTCGAGGGGCATATGCACGCCAGTGGTCTTGTGGTTTTCAAGGCCTAGTTTACTACTCACACAGGTTGAATTGAGTGGATCAGATATAACAGCCCCGACCTTGTCTTCACTAATTCCACCACCATTCAACAATGCACTCTCCACCACTTTTGTCATTCACCAAAGAACCCGCCACAACCTGAGGGCCCTCCTGCTTGCTGGACCAACCATCAGAAACTTGTTATTTGTACCAGTGGTTGATGACAGCAGCAAAACTTGTTACTATATTTGGAAGGTGCCATTTATAGCATTTTTGGGTACCAAACATCTAGCCAGTCTTCTTTTATCAGATACTTCTGGTTCTAGTTCTACGCCCCCTACTGAGACTTCAATCTTTGAATCAGTACCTACCAGCAGTGGTTATAAAGGAGATGCAGATGAAAGTAATTACATTGACTCTTGATCCACTACTATGCTTTTTCTTTCGTTATTATTCAGTTCCTTCATATATTTACATGGTTAAATAATGCCTGGGAATAATACTGCTGAAGATAAGGTTATTAATTTTTTTTTTGAACACAACAAGACCCGGTGGTTGTCTGCCCCATTTGACCTTATTGATAATATTGAAAAATCTAACCTTGATAAGTCAAGGTTTGAGCAAATAACAGGAACATATCTTAACAGCACGTAATCTGATAGTACAGTATCCTGCTCTCTCATATTTACAACAGAATTGCCCTTAACTCCAACCCTCATCGCCACTAGATTTCCGAGAAACATGGTACCACAGTCCAAATATAATACAGACATGTTTATTGGAAGATTACAGTGCTGCTTAAAGTAAACATTGAAGTGATAAAGGTTCCGCCCTTCATAGATGTGCACCATGCAGTCATGTAGCATCCTTGGATGTCTCCACCCTCAACGGATACGGGTTTTTGTACTATCAGTGAGACAATACTTTTTGTAGTAGATCCTGAAGACAACAGCTTTTTGTGCACTTTCATTACAGATACAATGGCATTGATACCGCCTTTGAGGTTATTGTGATGTACATAGCTTATCCACCTGTAAGTTAATCAAAGTGTCATGGCGGGTCCTGATAAAAGTCAGGCCATTGCAAGATATTCCTTTGTAAAACCCTGTTCCTTTCTATTGCTAACAACTGCTTCTGTGGGCCACATGGACACCAATATGTATCCCATGTTTGATGGCGCATATGAAAATGACCCGGAAGGAAGTAACCACTCAACGGCTGATATTCTAAACCTGGGAGTGACAACAACTGATATATCTCTACACAATCAAATTAGAGGCTCCCTTTCACAAGCTATGATATGCAATGACTCTGATGAAGAAGAAGAAGAGGTCCAAGATAGCTTGTTTGTGCTACCACAGATGAGTCATATTCAATATGAATGATTTAGATTTAACCGAATATATTCAGTCTTGGGCTCATCTGGAGGTCATGGGATCAGCGGACAATAATCCCTATGAAGCTTCCTTGAAAAGATCTGTGCCCTATACTTTGCAGTCACAGCTCCCGGTATATTCAAGCTTGTTCATATATGACATTACTCCTCTAACAGCTACCTAGCAGGCTACACCCACAATGCTGGAGCCCCCAGAGACAAGCTACAAGAGAGTGTACTTTGAGGTTGATGAATCTGATATTCTCCACGGGCGTTTGCACAAAGTAGAGAAACAAAAACAGAGAGAGAGGATTTACATGTCATCAAAAGTGAGTGTGATTGTAATTGAATTGTGGTCCAAGATATCATGGCATTAATTTGTGTTCTAACTTTGGCGGTGCATGCAGAGTGTACAAGCTGACCAAACAGAAATGGCTAGAGTTGAAGCCAGCATTGCCGCTGCATTGAAGGAACAGGAAAACAGGTATATGAGGAGAGAAGAGCAGGAAAAGATAAGATTTGAAGAGCTCCTGAGTCAAAGTATAGCACAGTCTGAAGCCAAGAAGACAGCTCAGTAGAAAGATTGGAAGAAACCAATGGCAGCTCAATATTTTGAAGCATGGTAAGAACAGGAGGATCTGGTTGTGGTAATCAATTGACTAGAAATATTAAGAAGATGCTCAGTCAATTGTAGGATGACTCAGGTTTATTCAATAATTACCTAGAAATATTAAGAAGATGCTATAGTACTATTAGTAAAATATCTCTAGTGAAATGTAGCTATGACATACCTCAGTCAATCGTAGGATGACTGAGGTAAAACTAGTATGAGGATAGAAATGAAGTATTGCGAGATTTTCTAAGTCTGAAATCAAATAAGGAAGGTATTTCTCACGCGTCAAATAAATGCACCACAGCTATCAACAAGCTCTTTCTGATTAATGATAGCAAGTGCATAGTGTAGGCTCAACTTTGTTTTTCCCAGTCCAACAGAGGAGACAAATAGAAAGGAAGCTAAAGCAAGAGCAGAGTGTGAGGGACAGCTGAGATTACGACTGGAGCGGATGGAGACGGAGAAGGCTTGTGAGATGGCTGCCTTGATGCAGAAACTAGAGAATATTGCCAAGGAAAATGAGGTAAGTTTGCAGCCTAGTTGGTTGGAGCACTGCTATATATAGGCAAAAGTCCTACTACTTATAGTTGGAGGTGCTATCCACTAAGGTATAATGACTCCATAGATTGGTGGCCATGCTCCATGGAAAGCAATGGCTGTTTTAGCAGAGACCGAGTTTATCTGGTTTTGTCACTCCCACTCGAGCACAACCGTAGTCTTATAGCTTTAGAGAATTTCCAGTGTTTTTTGTGAGCAAAGGGTGTTGTTGTATGATGGACTTAGCTTCTGTTGTTTGAGCCTCACACAACACTGGTCCCAGCCACATCCCTTTAGGTGGCTGGGAAGATACTTACTATTTAGGACATCGGACTTTTCCGTAGCTTAGAAACTTGGACTTGATGGTTTCTTTATATCACAGACTAAGGTAAGTTTGGACTCTTTTACATATACAATCCTGATTTTACTGAAGCACCTAGTATCTCTTGTATCAGGTATTTGCTAATAAACACAGTCTTTATGTCATAGAATGAGTATCTCTTGTATCAGGTACTAAAAACATCAAGGGCTACACTGAGAATGTCGGCAACCATATCTCCTGTAGGAACATATCAGATTATTGCCTCTTTTTTAAATACTAAGTCACCTTGGACAAATGATAGCTGCTTGATTGTTGCAGTGCAATGTTGTAGATTAATTTTGAGCATGTCTGATTTCTCCAAAAATGTCTGAAGCCATGCAAGGTGTTGTCCAGTATTGCTCAGTCCAATATACTCTGACTCTGTGGAGGATAAAGCTACCATGCGTTGTTTTTTGCTTGTCCAGGAGATTGCTCCTTGGATGGTGGTAGAAAAGAAACCTGATGTTGATCAGGATGTATCCGGGTCTCAAGACCTATCCGCATCCAAATATCCATAGAAATCCATGTTCATCGAGACACCTGTACCATCATAACATAGTTTCATGTCCCTAGTTTCTTTCAGATATTGGGGAACATGTTTGGCAGCTTCCCAGTGATGGCTCCTTGGAGCTGAGCTGTGTCTGCTTAGCATTCCGACAACATAGACAATGTCTGGGTGGGCTCTGAGCATGGCATATGTGAGGGCACCCACAATTGGGAGGTATAATACTTGACACCTTAAATATGCATTTTGTGTTGCATAATATCTTCCCTTGCAGCATTTGCAAGAAGTTTTGATCTATGGGCTAGTGGTGTCCATACTGGTTTGCAGTTCTTCATTCCAGTACGCTCCAGGACTGTGTCAATGTATTGGCGTTGCAATAGGGATATTGTTTTGTTTGAACGATCACATTGGATTTCTATTCCAAGGATGTATTTTGCTTCTCCAAGGTCCCGCATTTTGAATATGGATTCAAGTTTGGCTTTTGTGATATTCATGAATTTTTGGGATGAAGCTCCCAGGAGGAGGTCATCTACATGGACAACAATAAAGCATATTTGTTTATTGTCCTGAAATACATAAAAACATGTTTCTGCATTTAGTCTTGCCAAACCGAGCTCCTGGTGTTACGATAGACAACTTTCAGACTTACATCCTTTCTTTCTCCATTTCAACTTTCTTAGTTTTCACACACTTGTACCATGCGGCACTTTCCTTGTGTTCAAACTCCACTTTCTTGTGCTGCGCTGCTTTTCTTTATTTCTTAGCTACAACTCTCTCATGCAGTGGAACTGGTCACACAGGCTGCACCCTATGACATTATCAGCCACTGCCTTTATCAACTGTATAGTATATGAGTACAAACACCCTGTATTACTATATAAAACCCCAATAGGTCCAGGAGACTCCTCAGCGAGTCCTCCTGTTGTAACAACCAAGAGTTTGTATACTCTGGTGCACAACTTAGACAAAATACAGTGATGTGAGTGGGAGTAAATACCCTTATGATAGGACCAACTTAGTTATGGGTAAACAACAGGAGGATTTGCTGAGGAGCCTCCTTGATCTATTAGGGTTTATATAAATCTACAGGCTATTTGTACATGTGTACTATACAGTTGATAAAGGCAGTGGCTGATGATGTCATAGGGCATAGCCTATGTGATCAGCTCCACTTGTGTGAGAGACTTGTAGCTAAGAATAAAGGAAAGCAGTGCAGCGCAAGAAAGTGGAGTTTGAACAAAATGGAAAGTGCCACATGGCACAGTGTGTGAAAACTACAAAAGAAGGTTTAAACTGGAGAATGAAATTAAAAGGTCCAAAAATTGTATTGTAATATTTGTTGTATACCCACAACTAACTTAGTCCTATCTTCCTCTTTGCTTGTTGCTGTGTGTGCCAGAGTATTCAAACTTTGGTTGTAACACCTGGAGCTTGCAATCAAAGATTTTGTTCCACGTACAACCAGCTTGTTTTAATCCATAGATGTATCTCTTCAACCTCCAGCAGTATCCAGGTTGGATAGGAACACCCCCTAGAGGAAGCATGTACAATTCTTCTTCAAGTTCTCCATTGAGATAAGCTGTGGATACATCCATTTGATCAAGTTCTAGGTTATAATTGGCTGCCAGGGCTAGAATATTTTGGATCAACTCTAAGTTTGCAACCAGAGCAAAAACCTCCTGGTAATCAATCCCCTTCCTTTGAGTAAAACCCTGTGCAATAATGTGGAGTTTGTATCTCTCAATGTTTCTGTTTTGATCACACTTGATCCGGAACACAGGTTTTAATGTGATATGTTTTACTTCATTCAGAAGTGGGACAGTTACATATACTGCATTAGTATTGAAACTTAGGATTTCCTCCTCTCAGACAGACTTCCATAATTTTCTATCTGGACATGATAAGGCCTCCTTTAGTGTCCTTGGAAGGTCTGTATTAGATGAATCAGTACTTGTTATTCCAGCAAAGACTGTCTCCTATGTATCAGATGTTTCTTCAGGAACCTCAGGAGTGTTAAGTTTCTCCATGGAGTTGTGCTGCTCTGTTCTGCTCTGTTCCTCATCTAGAGTCCTTTGATAATCTTGGTTTTTGTCTGCAGGACGAGTCTGGTGACTGCTTCTGCATACTCCTAGGACTTGAGCAGGTATGATTGCTGTTTGAGGAATTTATGCAGGAACTCCAGGAAGGAGATGCACTTGTGTGTGAGCTGCCCCACTCACTCCTAAAGGTGTTGGATATCTCCCCGGAGGTATTGGATAACTCCTCAGAGGTGTTGTATGTGTTCCAGAAGCTGATCCAATGGACAGGCTGGCTAGCTGTATTCGGACTTCCACCACCATCAGGAAAAATGGGGGTAGCTATATAGAGCTCTATAGCACTATAAGTACTCATAAAGCTGTTATAGTGGTCAAACCTGTTATAGAACCTCTGCCATCTATAGAGCCTCATATAGCTCTATAATGCTCTTATAGATGTTGGAAATTGTTGTGTGGCTGATAAAAAAAAATTAACACAGACAAGATTTGAACTCTCAACCTGCTGGTCAGCTTTTGGGTGACTAAGCAACCTATCACCACACATCACATTTATCCACTACACCATGAGAGCTTATAAAATATATCATACAGGTGTTATATATTGACCTTTCATGGACTTAGATTATTTTTTTACTCATTGTCACTACTTATATTTGGATAAATCATTATTCTTATTTTATAAATATCGAAGATACAAACTACTATCTCACTAATACAGGCTATATAATTAATTAATACTGTATGATTTATTAGCCCTTTTAAGCACCTTGAACTATATTATAACTATGACCTTTACAATTATAGGAGCTATGTAGGCTGCTATAGGCTATAAGAGCACTTATAGTACCTTGCCTATAATAATATACTTGACTCCAAACACTTTTTGATAAAATTGGATAATGACCAGACCAGGGATTGAACCTGGAACCTTCTGGATACATGCCAGCTGCTCTACCAATTGAGCTATATGGCCAAGGTTATACAATATAGGATCTTAAACATGACATGCAACCACGGACGTCTTACACAGAATAGCTGCTGCATACTGGGCTGGCTTACAAATCAGAGGTATTATCCTATGGAGTATTGGTATGTCAGAGTATATTCTAACACTTTTGGCCTCTTTCTATTACTGAACAAGTTTATAAGATTAATCCAGAGTTTGAGCAAATTATAGATACTTCTCCCTTTGGTTAAGATTTTGCCTACTACTATGCTATAAGAGCTATAAGAGCTATGATTGCACTGATAGTACTATAGTTTCTATGAATGCATTTATATATATAGGTGGTGGCTATATAGCGCTATATAGCAAAAGGGTTTTTCCTGATGACATCAGCTAGCTGTCTGTTGAGGAGCTGTCCTCCCACTGACTGTGACTCTACTTTTGGTTTCTGTTCTGAAGATGGCCAGTGTTTGGATCTTGGTTGTAGAGACTATTGTGGAGAGTGTCTTAGCTGATCAGGTGCTCCCACTGCTCTCGGAACATCTTCATGGAGGTATTTCCCCACTGCTCTTGGAATGGCTCTATGCTGATATGGTTCCATTGCTTGTAGAACATTTTTTCAGATGGATTTGACACCAATCTGTGATGCCCCTCCTACCCATTATATTATGCTCATGTCCTGGGCATTTACCATAAAAATGTTGTATGTACTGGTCAAGGTGTAACAACCAAGAGTTAGTTACTCTGGTGCACAACTCAGACAAGCTATAAAGGTAGTGATGAGGGAGTGGCTACCCCTTAGGTAGGACCAAGTTAGTTGTGGGTATACAATAGGAGGACTCACTGAGGAGTCTCCTGGATCTATTGAGGTATATATACTAATATAGAGTGTTTGTACTTATGTACTGTACAGTTGATAAAATCAGTGGCTGATGATGTCAGAGGGCGCAGCCCGTGTGACCAGCTCCACTGCATGAGAGACTTGTAGCTAAAATAAGAATAAAGGCAGTGTAGCGCGAGAAGGTGGAGTTTGAACAAAATGGAAAGTGCCGCATGGCACAGTGTGTGAAAACTACAGTATAAAGTTAAAGAGGAGAATGAAAATTAAAGGTCCAAAAATTGTGTATTGTAACACAAGGAGTCACAACTTATCACATGTGTAAGATGGATTTTTTATTTGTGAGGTGGTACAAGTTGTGCGGTCCTTTGGACAGAGAAACAGACTCAGGCTGGTACAAACTTAACATGCTACATTTTGTTCCCATGGCTGAAGATGATGCTTATGGGTTCGTCAACCCAGCTGATGTTCTGCAGAGCTGCCACCTAGCACCAGCATTTTACGAAAGAAAATTACATCCCAATGGCATTGGGATGTCCAATTTTGCTCAGGATGCACAAGATTGGAAAAATCACTACGTCAATTGGTTAGCCCCAGCTACATTTAACGCTAAAGAAACCTACCAATATTTTTCCTACAGGTTTGTAGATTGAGACATGATCATGTGTTATCATTGTTGCTTGGGGATTGGCCACACATATGCCTGCGGTGAAGCATCTGAAGGCATTGACAGACTTGGGGTCTTTGTCACAAATGACTTCATGGAGTACCTACCCAGCAGCAATGCTGCCCAGACTTCTGAGACAGTCAATTACCAGTCAGGTCAGCTTGATAAAGATAATGGAGAGGACAGTGATGTATCTATTGAAGAGGATGTCAACTCACAACTCACATTCCAAAACAGTGAAGGCAAAGGCTTCAGCTACAATCAAGACTCAGATGAGGACTCAGACACTGACAAATTGTCCCCAATTTCCTGATGAGATATGGCTAAACAAGGTTTGCATGATCAACAGACATTTTTGGCTACTTGCATAGTCACATAACTAGGCCTACCCCAAATGCACCAGACATGATAGAGCATTGTTGCGCAAGCAAACCTTACCACTTTTTGCCTCAGATTTAAACTTTGCTCGCAGGCACTAGGATATCTCGCATGACGAAACCAGATGAACCCGGTCTCTGCTAAAGCAGCCATTACTCTCCATGGAGTCACCATTGTTCTCCTAGGAGCATAATTGCACTCCCAGGAGTCATTATACCTTAGTGGATAGCACCTCCAACTATAAGTAGTAGGGGGTTTAGTATAGGAATACCTCAGTCATTTCTATAGCCTCTCAGGCAGTGGCTGAGTTTTACTTAGATTTATTAGGTTATGAGCCCAGGTGGCGCAAAAGCTACACAGGAAATAATTCTCATTTGAAATGGCAACCTAAGAACCATGACCACAGCACACAATACCTCTGCATGTCCAGTGAAAACTGGACATGGACACAACAATTTCCAGATATAGAAACTCTGGATCATGTAACAACCAAGAGTTATTTACTCTGGCGCACACTGGAACACACTATAAAGAAGATGATGGGGAGCGGTTACCCCTTAGGCTGCAGTGAGTTAGTTGTGCTAGACAACAGGAGGACTCGCTGAGTCCTTCCCCATGTATTGGTCTTGTATATATACTAAAATACATGAGGTACTGTACAGTTGTAAATAAAGTTCAAAGTCTGATGTCTAGCATGTGACCAGTCACATGATGAGTCTAGACACTGGTCAGGTGATGTGTCACATGACTGGTCATGTGACTATGAAAAGTCAAAAATGTAAAGTAAAGTAAATGGTCACATGACTGGTCATGTGACTTGGAAAATAAAAGTAGAAGTACAAAAGTGAAGCGTAAGTAGGTGCTGGTATGTTAATTGTAACAGATCGTCTCCAAGCTTTGTGGGGAAAAGGTTCTCCGAGTTGTTACTGGAGAGGAGCTCAAGCCCTCACGAGGAAAGCCCACCGCCTTGGAGGACCCTGAGATCACCTAGATACTTAAGGATGAAAAGGCACATGGAATCATCTAGGACCACATCTCTGATGCCCTCCTAATGAGGACTGGAGACCTCACCAGCTCCAAGTAGTTAACAGACGTCCAGCATTGCCTTGGCCTTCTATTCATTCCAGCAACTCACTGTAACAACCAAGAGTTAGTTACTCTGGCGCACACAAGAACACACTATAAGGGTAGTGAACGGGGAGTGGTTACCCCTTGAGCTGCAAAGAGTTTGTTGGTTAACAACAGCAGGACTCGCTGAGGAGTCTCCTGAATCTATTGGGGTTTATATACTACTACAGGGTTGTTTGTACATGTGTACTATACAGTTGATAGAGACAGTGGCTGATGTTGTCATGGGGCCTAGCCCGCAGGGCCAGCTTCACTGTGTGAGAGAGTTGTGTCTAAAATAAGAAGAAAGGCAACGCGGCACAAGAAAGAGGGAAAGGGAAAGTGCCGCGTGGCACCATGTGTGAAAGCTAAAGTACAAGGTTAAAGCGTAGAATGAAAATAAAGGAAAGGTCTGAAAATTGTGTTCTCGTAACACTCAAAAAATTGTCCTAGGATAGAACATCACCTATCCAGGACCACATTGCGAGAAGTTGGACTATTGATTCACACCTCTCCAGAATGAAACTAGGAGTTGATACTAAACTCACGGCCTTTTCTCTTCTCCAATCTCTTCCATGCACTCCTGAATGGCACATGTTCTAGTCATTGGTAATCAACACGATTGAAGAAGATAAACTTACCTTTGATGCAGTTGAGATCCGGATCACTGCAGAAGTGGCATGACAGTCAGGAAAGGCTCCTGGAGGTTCCAAATCAGCACTCAAGTCCATGGAAAAGTGGTGTGACTTCCACAAAGTCAAATTGCACAACACCTTGGAGTGTTAAACACTTTAGTCAGCTGGGAAAGGTCAAAAGAAGAAAGGAAAGGATAAACACAAGGATAAAGGAAAAGAGAAGGAACAGGCAAATACGGTGGAGCAATAATCTGGATCTGACTCTGAGGAGGAACAGAATCATATTACATTGGAACATGTATATATTTCCAAGCCCCTTGCTAAGCGTATTCAAGCTTACTTTGTGTTGGAACCCAATAAGACAAAAACAACAATCATCATTGACCCTAGAAGTAACATCTCATATGGTCCCTCACCGCTCCTGGTTTGAGCCAGGAACATACCATGTTCTGAACCCTCCAAGGACAATCAGTTTTGGGGATGAATCCTCTGTTAATACAATTGGAATTGAAACAGTGATCCTGCAAATAACTATTGGCAAAAAAAACTATAATATTGCACTGTCAAATATTTTACTTGTGCCAAACTTCACTTTAGCACTTATCTCCCTCCACAAATTGTCTAAAACAGGATTATCAACACTTTTTCCAGCAGGGTCCAATGCTTGTGAAGTTTGTAAAAAGAAGGAACTCATCCTCACTGCCCTACATAAGCACGGACTTTATCACACCCAAGCAAAACCCAAAATAAACCTGGAGTCAGCTTTTACAGCAGTGGATGTAAATCTATTAGAGAGGAGAATGGGACACATTGGAATGGATTGTTTATAACAAATAGTTACAAAAGGACAACTCCAGGACATAGACACCCTTACCGGAACCCCGGATTTCTGTGAACCTTGTGTTTTAGGAAAGATGAAAAAATTACCCTTCAAGTCCACTGGAGGAAACTGTGCCAAGCGCCCCATACAAATTGTGCACACAGATGTTGGAGGACCAATTAAAACAACCTCCAGGGAGGGTTTCCGATACTAGATTATCATTGTAGACGATTTCTCCAAATTTCCATGGATATATTTTCTAATACACAAAAGTGAAGTGATACAAGCAATGGAAAGAAGACATCCAAATATTTTTCTGAACTCATTTGGGAGAGGATAACTTCACTCCACTTTACACAGAATTCCTCCAGAGTGATGGAGGAGGAGAATAAACTGGTGATGCATCCAAAAATCAACTCCAAGGAGATGGTATCCTCCAAGAAACCACAGCTGCAGATACCCCGCAACAAAATGGCATTGCAGGACGCATGAATCAGACATTGGCTACTACATTAGCAACCACTATGCTCCATGATTTAATGCTCCCAAAGTCATTTGGGGTGAATGCCATGCAAACGGCTGCATGTATCACAGCACACAGCCCAGCATCAGGACTCCATGGAAAGACCCTATATAAAATACTGTTTAAAAGGAGTATTGATCCAACTTTATTCCGCCCTTTTATATGTCAAGCATATGCCTTGATTTTAAAAGACAAACAGCAAGAAAAGTTCTACTCCAAGGGGCGCAAAGCCATAATGATTGGCTATACACATGGAAAGCAAGCCTACAAACTCCTAGACACTGAAAACTAAACTGTGTTTTCTAGTTGGCATGTCATATTTAATGAATCCGGAAAGGTACAAAAGGACGACACTGCTCCCTGGAACACAGACCCCAGCACAAATCAGTGGGAGGAACTTATTCCAGAGAATGTTCACCTTCCGGACCAAAACACAATGGAGGATGATCCTGACCCTCAGATCTAAGATCTATGTTGTGTAATTGATGCAAAAGATGTTGTGACTATACATTCTGTCATTTTTTAATATGACTTGAATAGAAGGTTGCTGATTTGGTGGGGGATCATTAAGGTGATGCTTGGAAACATTATAAGTGCATCTTCTTTCTCAGATCTTGCAGTGTACGTATGACGGTGATGAGTATATCTACACAGACAACAATCAGAATAATGTACGTATTCTCGACAATCAAATTTATTGAGGCAAGGTCTTGCACATCAACTATACTATATATGACATGTGTCAAGAGCATGATTCAGTGAATCCAAGAACTCGATGCGATGTCATGGTTTTTTCCAGGGAAAAGAAGCGGGGTGGACACTCTTATTGGTACACCCGTGTTCTTGGAGTGTTTCATACCCAGGTTCTCCACGTGTCCTTGGGTTCCAAGGACAATCGTCCACAACGCATGGAGTTTCTATGGGTCTGCTGGTTAGGCCTGGACTTGGAGCATCCAAGGTAGCTTTTTTACCTAAAGTAGGATTTGTCCCACAGAAGGGAATAGGAGCCTTTGCTTTCCTTAATCCATCGCTCGTTGTTTGAGCCTGTCACTTAATCCCAGCCTTTGCCGATGGTCATTCCACGCACTTACTTCGAAAGGGCCCTTCAGCAGGACGATTCGCCGGGGAGAGCAATGATTGGGCTGCATTCTATGTAAATATGTGAGTTTTGATTCACATTTTATATTGGCGCTGCTCTGTCACACATCTTCATTGCAGTTTTGTCAATCGGGATATGTTCGTGAGATACACGCACCAGGGAGTTGGTCATCAAAACCTCCAGGTTGGAAATGTCAATATGAGAGATAATAACGCATTGGCAGTGGACAAAGGACCTAAGGATCTTGACTTGGATTTGTCCCCAAACCAAGGCCAGGCCATTGATCAAGACCAACATCTAGCAGAGGATGGACAAGTTGAGGACCAAGATTACAATCAGATAGATCAGACTCAGTACAAAGAAGTTATTGAGGACAATGACAGTGACATAACGGGACATTCACACTCAGACAATAAAGAAGAGTTTGAATTTGAAGTTGAAGTTGGAAATCCTGATTGTGAACTCCACGAGGAAGGGGAATGTACCTGTGATTCAGTTGTAGAAGAGGACAGCTACTATGCTTTGTTATAGACATACATAACAGTGTATACATTCTCATAAAGGTGCATATACCTTCCGCTCACGTAGATGATCTTATTTATCAACTCACTATTCTTGCAATCTCAGTATATTCATTCTGGTTGGATAGCTACATTCTGTTCTTACAATCAAACTTTGATACAGCGTTTTCTACAGCCAGGGTGCACGGTGTCACAGCTACTTTATCCAGGTACGAGAAGATTGTGAGTGCACGTGTATAATCTGTGTCATGCTGAAATAGTTTTAATTTCTGTGTATGTGTGCACACACAGCCTCTGACATCCTCTGTTGTGTGTCCAGAGCCAGTGGATGATTTAGTATGTGGCGGTACAGTCATGTCAAGGGCTTCTGGCAATCAGCTGCATTTCTGACATCGCCATCCCAATTGTGGCGGTACAGGTAAAGTGAAGCTACGGTTCGTGTTCCGACTCTGTTCTGTTCTTGACCAAAACTGATATATCTGACTCTTTTCCAGATTCACTCAATTCAAAGCCTTTCCTCAGTGGAATCATGTCTTCACGAGTTCGAAAGAACAAACAGCGCCCTGGCCATCTCATAGCTCTGCACTCGTCCAGACTTGTTCTCTTACCTCGGTCTTTTTGTAATGATATCTCCCATGTCTATCAGGTGCTTAGTGTGGGTCGGAAACTTATTCCCCACAAGTATTACCTGCAAGCATTTTATAGAGCCTTTTCTAGGCTTGTCATGGGGCACCGCAGTCGCAGGTTAAGAACACAAGAGGCTTGGTTTTTAAAGAAGAGAGTACAGCAGAAGAGGTTGAAGTGGGATATAATCTTCGATTTGAAACAGGCCAGGCACCGTGTTCTCAAGCTTCATAAAGAGCTCCTTGAGTGTACTTCTCATATGGCAGAGTATTGAAGGAGTTGTGTTGGTACTTTGTTGACAAGGTATGCAAATATCTTTCTTATCATTCCTTTTATTGATGCTATAACAGTGAGTAACAGCAGAGAATGTTGCATACTTGTCCTCTGTGTTCCATGTCTTTGTTGACCAACGGGTAATACTTATACATTGTATACTACCATATCCGAAATGTAATATTTGTGTCACTCGCTGTGAATAGAACATGATGTGATATGAAACTTCGAATCTCAGAAGGACACGACAAAAGGGGAACTCAATGCTCAGTACTGATCAGATGGGAGCGGATAACTCACATGTTTGCTTCAGACTATACAGTAAGGGAAGGTGACTGAATTCCACTGTTATCAATAGGTTACACAGCTCGAAAACGCAGTATAAATACAGAGTAACCCGTTTTTGTCCAGCATCAGTAATCAACATGCCACTCCAGCCTGCTGAATTCTCCAGTCGTTCTGGCCCTTTGACTCGGGAGTTAACCCAGGCTACATTAGGGACTACTACACCTCCATCAACTCAACTCAGACCGCCGCGCTTCCGGCGAGATCCGACTAGTACACCTCCAGCGACTCAACCCAGACCACCTGGCCTCCAGCGAGACCCAACTAGTACGCCTCCCTCAACTCAAGCCAGCCTGAGACCACCGCGCTTCCGAGGTCATGACGATAGTGGGTCAACGTACCGAGACCATGAAGGCAACTTGGACAGACAATCTCCTGTGGATCAAATTGACAATCAAGATATCGAGGCCTCTCAAGTGGCTGAAGCAAAAAGGCGCATAGCAACACTAGAGGATGAGCTTGAAAAGCTCCGTAGTGGTTTGAAGCGCAAAATGTGTGTATCATTGATAAAGGATCAGCTATTACTGCAGAACACTGACCCGGCACCAGCTTATCAATAGTGAATCTGATGGTGATTGCTATATTAACCCAGGACGAGCAATTTGACGTCTTGTGTCTCTTTTTGAGTCCATCAACAATATTGTTGGTGAGCAGGACAGGAGGGCCATGTTAGATGATGATGAGTCATCCATTGAGCATTCCACCTAGTAAGTTGTTATCTTTACACTATTGTGTTTTGAGTTGTAAGTGCTGAATATTTTGACCATATACTCTAGTGAAAACCATCTGTATAGAGCTTATCAAGAGCTACTGATATATGTTCCTACGCTCAAGATAAAGCTATCAGATCCCAAGTTCACCACCAAGGACCAAAATGTACTCTTTCAGAAGGTTCTCTTCATCCCAATAGTGCTATGGGTCACTGATCTTATCAGCAAATATATTAACTTAGGAAAGGGGCTGACGGTGCCCAAGGTGATGACGCGGGGAACTTAAAACCAATTATTGTGTCCTGGATTGCAGAAATATTCTCTGTCACCGATCTGACTCTGGATGCTAGCAATAAGAGTAGCCGCGGCTTTGCAAACAATCATACTGGCCGCCTCCTGTGCCCCATAGAATATGACTGGAGTGGCTCAAAGTAAGCATGAAATATTTACTGTATTCTGAGTCCACCACATCTGATTGGACATACATTGCATAGTTAAAGCTGGTATAAGCGATCGTGACCCAGACTTCTTAGTGACGGCGCTCATGATGCCTACCTTCTTGTACAAGAACTATAATATGAATGCTGACAACATGAAAGAAGGTTTATTCAAAAGCACGTTCTTGCCTTCCTTCTCATGATGCTACCGTCTTACTCATTCTCCTGTAGGCATTCAAGTTTATCTTTACCTCCCCTTCGTCAGTGAGGGGCATGGTAGAGAATGACTCCTATGTTTTTGTGCCTACTAGGAACCACAAGGGATCGGACACTCGCACACGTAATCATGTAGCTGCTCTCTTGGGCATGCAATCGGTTAAACCGAGGGCCATCGCTTATGTGGCAGTACAGGTCAGTCAGTAGGTATAATAACTTGTATTGATGGCTAATAATCTTGGTATAGTTACATTTTGCATTATTGAATGTGGGATCTTGGCGTCCAATCGATGGGGATTTTGACTAACAAAGAGTTCTACAGGTTTATTGTTGATTTTCCTGAGATGCCCCCAGGTCCTGCCAGCAAGAATCGTGTTAACATGTTATTATTATGGTGGAATCAGTAAGTGCTCTACTTACCTCAGGCTGTGAACACTGCTAATCAACTCCTTTACTTCTGTAGAAAAGTTTTTGGCCTTCATAATGCTAGCAACTACAGCCCCCAGGATTACGCAAGGATGTTGATGTCAAAGCTTAAGGCACAAAGAGTCGCTCGAGAAAGTATATCGTCAATCTAACCGGGTTTTCCATTCTATCCATACTTTATAAGAGATACTCATGTATATTACAACTTTCAAACTAATCAATATCGTGATTTAATATTTCCCATTCAGAACTAAGTGACAACAACACGAATAAGTAGTTCTGATATTCACAATGGATATGTAAAATTCTGAGAAATTAACATTTAGATGAACATTGCGCATCACCTCAGCATCTGATGGCAGATTTAGAGCAGGAGCAAACTTGCAATGAGCTGATATTCATATTGTCATATTGATAGATATTACACTGATGAGGCTATACCATAGCCACTTTGCAGATTCTCTACATAATGTTATTGCTATACAGGAAGTATTGATGATAGTTAGCCCAGTTATAGAATGAACATATATTTTTAATGGGATCAGCCAACAATCCTATCTCGACAAGACTTTCAAAAGGCCCCATAAGATTCTTGGTGGTTGGCATTTAATTGCAAACAAGAAAACAAAAAGAAGACTATGCACGAATGCTACTAACAGGAGCTTGTGTGTAGATCAATAAAATCAATATCCACTTTTGGAAATATCTTCAGCCTGGCAAACCTATAGCAGGCCTTGACATAATTTTGTGATGGTGACAAAAAGCCTTCTTATACAAACTACAAGCACTCTGGGGACAGTTTGATCAAATAACGAGAAAAAATCAAGAGACTGGTAATATTAGCTCAACAATATCATTATAGACAGCGCTACACACAAACCTGTATATAATGCGACAAATGACAATATTGACCAGACTTTGCACAATTCACTCAAATAAACAAAAACAATTCAAAGATTGGTAATATTGATTCATGAAACCATTAGAGACAATGCTACTTGCAAACCTGTATGTAATGCGACAGATTATAATGTCGACCAGATTTTCCCAAAGTTACAATTCATTTCCCCTTGGTAAACCCTTAGAAGGCTATATCATGATTTCCATAATTATTTTAGTGATTTTATATATTGCCCGCATTATAAAGCTCAGATATACCTTGACAAAAATGTTCCGTTTTTAGTGATGTGGTTAGCAAGCGCAAAATCAAGATTTTGTTGGATTTTTGATTGCGTATAACCCGTTCTATAGACAAAGTGGAGTACAGTTTTCTAACAAGAACTTGGACGAGTTATATGCAGGTGACAAGGACAGTGAACTCCCTGCTGCGCTATCATTAAGTTTTGTTCCCCCTGCTGCATCAGAGAACAATGCTACTTCTGACTACACCGATCAAAATAACCTTGACTCAGGGCCGTTGGGCAAGCAACATGATTTTATTCTCGAGGCTGTGGGCTATACTTTAGGGGACCATTCCCTTACAAGTTATTGTCAGATAAAAGCAATGGCGCTAGCTTCCTGCATTGATGGTAAAAGGTTTTTGCAAGTTTGAAGTGCCAATAGCCTCATTAATGATGATGATCCTTCCATGTTGTCTTTGCTATTTCCTCACTTAGATCCGTGGGGAATTGGATCATTCAACCACCCAGATTGCACTGTAGAGCAGTGCATTTTGTTCCAGAGGCAAGTGCACAACCTTCTTATGCAGCATAATATAAACTTGATCCAAATTTTGCTTATGTGTGTTTCAATATCTTGCAAAAAAAAGAAGTTAATCAGCAGATCTGTTTTCGGGTGTCATCTGATGTATGTTATACAATAGGTGCAGAAATTGCTGAATATGCTCCCGGTTTGACAGACCTGTGTCGCCAATGGCAGAACAATCCAGCTGCAAAACCTTTAAACAACTATCAGACAAAGGCTTTATGCCTCCTTAACAAATTGAAACTCATTGTTGGGGGCCTCAATGGGTCGACTAGCTACAAACTATGCCAGCAGAATGAGATTTGTGCGCTCATTAAGAGATTTGGTACTCCTGCATTATTTTTTACCCTGAATCTGTCTGATATCAATCATCCTTTGGTAGGAGTTCTTGGAGGCTTAATGCCTAAGCAATGGCAACAAATGTCTTTGTACAATTGCAGCCTGTTGTGGCTAAAAATCCAGCCGCTGCTGCTCAGTTTTTCCATATCATGATGTCCACTTTCTTCAAAGTTATCATGAAACATGGCTCTAACTCACCTGGTTTATTTGGGCACAGTGAAGCATACTACGGCACGGTGGAAGTACAAGGAAGGGGTACCTTGCACTGTCATATGTTATTGTGGTTGCGTGGCAATCCAAATCCTCAGGTGTTGCGAGACCAAATGCGTGAAGACTGCATTTAAAGTACAATTGTTTCAATAGTTGGAAAGTATTATCAAGTGTGAGCTTCCTGGCATGACAGACATTCTTGTTGAGCAAGAAAGTGTTGCCATTCAAAAACCTCCACTGGCACCTGAGTCTATAGATCCACGTGTTCAAGATGCTCCTAATGTTGTAGTCAATGATTCATTGTTTGAGAAAGAGTTCCAGGAGTTTGTAAGAGAGTTAGCTGTGTACTGCAATTGGCACGAGCATACAGAGACTTGTTGGAAATATTTAAAACCTGGTGAACCGCGTGACAATTCTCACTGTTGGATGAGAATTAATGGTAACACTCAATTTTTCACAGATCTGGATCCAGAGATGGAGTCCATCTTATTGCACAGGTTACATCCACACATTAATAACTTCAATGATCTTGTGTTGTTTTTGATGCATTATAATATGGATATCAAATATATAGGCTTGGGGCAAGCTGCAAAAGCTCTTGTATATTATGTAACTGACTACTTTACAAAGAGCTTGTTGCCTGTCAATGTTGGTTTTGATGCTTTGCGCTATGCTGTGAAAGAAATGGCATGAAATTCTCAAATAGTGATTCAAGCTCAGCTGAGTGACATCAAAGTCTGTTCACAAAGATTGTTAATGCTATAATGGCACACCAGGAAATGTCTCACCAGCAAGTTATGAGCTATCTTATGGGAGGTGGTGACTACTACAGCAGCCATAGCTTTAAGTTGTTACGTTGGGCTGATTTTGACCGCTATGTACTTTGTGAACTTGAATGGACTACCAATCCAAGGGGTGCGGGCCATGTGGAGCAAGTTGTTGATGATCCCGATGAATCTGACATTGATGTTGAAAGTTGTGATGGGGATGAAAGTACTGATATGGGAGATGAGGTTCTTGTCATGTTTGATGGAGAGCGATTTAGTTCTAACACAGACATTGTAGACTACTGTCATAGGAGTGATGTGCTTCGATAACCTGTCTCTTTGAGAATTCACTGAAAGTGCTCAGAAAATTTCATTGAGGACAGGGGAAGCCAGGTTGGCCAAGCTCACCTCATATCAGGGTGGAGACAATAGTATGGAAACACGCATCCGAGGAACAAGGCACATCCTAGAGGTCAATTCCAATTGGCACTTCCTCAAAAGGATTCTCATCTTATTTGTATGCATGAGGAAAGTTTTGTTCCTGTGTTATTGGGTTCCTCCTTGCCTCGACCAGACCAAAGCAAAGCCAATTGCCTGTTATGTTGCCGTGCTATGCTCATTTTGTTCAAGCCTTGGTGTTTGGTATTGGACTTGAAGGAAGCTCACCACTTATGGTGTGATGCTTTTGAAGCCTATAATTTTCCACCGCATCTTCGTGTTATAATGAGTAATATGAATGTGGAAAATGAATGCAAATATGCATGGGACTTATCTGAATCACAATGTGTAGGACAGAATTTATCTCACAGTAACGAAAATACAATACCCCAAGAAGTTGTTGATGACATTGAGGTCCTACAAGTGGTGTCTCTTTGATCGCCTTTTGAAGCTATTGCAGCATTGGAGAGTGTTCCATCTACAACAAAGAAGGATGAAAATGTTAGAAGTGTATCATCAGGAAAACATGATTTTGCTATAGTTGGATATGGATAGGTAATTATGCAAATATAGCAATTGTGGCAAAAAAGTGCATCTAAAGTGATCTATATCAGTTTATAGTGAATCATATTGGAATAAATTTAGCAGCTGTGGCATGTATAGTAATTAGTTCCACCTAAAGCATATCAGAGTGGATTAAAGCATTTAGTGACACTATACCAAATTTGATTATTTATTACCTAGAGTCATAATTAATGAGGATGCTAGTTATATCAATCAACACTACAAAATTTATCTAGTGTAAAATTTTGTTGGCTATCTTGTATGTACATGCTAAGTTAGCCAGCGTAAATTTATCCTTGAAGCCAAAATTTGAAGCGTTTTTTGAGACATATGTGAGCAGAGTGGCTGGCTCAATGCGTGGGAAAGTGTTTAATCGGAGCTTGAATGTCCCAAAAAGCGGTCAAACCTCTCTATAGTGTTTTGTCAACTGTGGGAAAGCGCTACTGCACTGCAGCACAGTTGCATCTCCCTCCCTGTCACCACATTGTGTGACACAATGGTGGCAACACCTCATCACTGTGTCACACAGTGCCAACAATGCTGCACAAATTTTTAAGTCTCGCTATTCTACCAAGGTATCATTCTAGCCTGGCTACTAGTAGAGAGTAGCCAGACTGCAAAATTTTTGTCTCACCAGACTCAATTGCAAGTACCAGATGGAGATGGCTGCCACCCCAACACCAATGCCCTAGAAACAGTTTGTAAGCCCCAGTATGTTGTGTTATTGTTTGTTTATTCTGAATTACTATTCTGCTGAAGGCCATTTTTTGCTAATGACGACTTCTCCATCACCACCTCCTTCAACCTTCAACCCAACCTAGACAGCCCCAGCAATGTCAATGCCAAAATAAAAAGGTCTTTCTTATTTATTCTACACTGATACATTATTATTTACAATTCCTAGGCTACTTCTGGAAAACCTAATATAAAAAAGGTGATGATATGGCATCATTCTTCTAGCTCTAGTAAGTGTTCATTTGTTCATTTATTTACAAAATAAACTAACAATCAAAATTGTCTACCAGCTTGAATATGTTTTACTAGGTGCTGTCAATAATGCTATAATAGAATTCTCAGAGACGGCATTTTCTGCCAGGTACATCACCTTAATCACCATAAATCTCTACTTATTATACTTTTACAAGATGGGATCATGATATGAAATGCTCTCCTACATACTTGGCAGCATATTTGATAATTTGATGAACATGTTTGGTAAGAGCTTACTACATATTTATATTGTAACATTTTTTTAACTTCAAGTATTTTTATAGGAATAGTTGTAGGCATAATTGTACAACATTGGGGCAATCTGACGTTGTTTTATAGATGTTACTGCTGCAGCATTTTTGGAATCAATATAATTTCCTTTAATATTGTTTTTTTTGGATATAGTTGAGTATGGATCGATATAATTGCATTTAGAGTGAATTAGAGTGAATTAGAGTGAATTATAGTCAAAAAGTGCAAGGTCATTTTTGTTTTAACAACTGTGCTATAAACCAATTTTTATGATATAGCAATACTCTAAACAGATATTTATTAATATTTATGCATTTACTATAGGGGACTGTGCAAGAATTGCACTTATAGATATAACAGATATTTATTGCATTTATATCCAAGTCATGTTTTCCTGATGATTGACTGCATTAGAACAATAACACTCTATATTGCTGGCATTGGAGGATCTGGTAAAAGCCATGTCATTAATGCAATTGTTGAATTTTTTAACAGGTGTAATTGCAGCAATGAATTGTTATTGAGTGCCCCAACAGGCTGCGCTGCTGTCCTCATTGATGGTTACACCATACACTCATTGACATTTCTACCAAAATCTCAGCACAAGCTTAATCAAAGTGAACTGGAAAATGTGTGGAGGGATGTTAATTACCTTGTCATTGACAAAATCTCTATGGTATCTGTGTCTCTCCTCAGCGTCATCTTTCACAGGCTCTGTTCTGCAAAGGCCTATAATCCTGCTTGTGTTGCAAAACCATTCAGAGGCATCAATGTAATCTCCACAGGGGATTTTGGTCAACTCAAGCCAGTGAGAGAGAGAGCCTCGTTTGGGCATTCCTTAGTGGGCCGCCTCCTTCCCAATACCGCACAAACCGAATATGGTCAATCTTCCTTACACAGAGCTTTCTTATGGCGTCAAATCAACAAAGTTGTTGAGCTCGAGAAAAATTGACGTGCTCTTGACAATCTCTCCTTCTGCAGCGCATTTGACTTGGCCACGCATGGAACGGTACAACAATCATGACAGATTCCCAATCAGGTGTTGGTACAAATTACAGTGAGTCAGACTTTGACATCTTAAATAAACAATGCTTGCAATATTTGAGTGTTCACCATCCTCAAGGTCTCGGGAACTTCAAAGACGCTCCCATAATTGTTTGCAAAAAAGTGCTCCGTGATGCCATTAACTACAAAAAGGTACGGTCTTTTTCTCGTAGCACTAATCAGGACTTCTTTGTATACCATGTAAAAGATGTCATGAAAAAAAGCCCCTCAGCAAAGATGTATGATAATTTGTATGGGATCATATCGGAGCAAGCATCACTCACAACAGCTTGGGAAAGATTCCCCTTGTCCTAGGCATGCGTGTTATGGTCACTGAAAATGTGGCCACTTCTTGCAACATTGTAAATGGCGCTGAAGGAATTTTTCAAGACATCAAATTCTCTGTAGACAAGCAAAATTGAAGGTGCTAACCTCTAATCCCCTTCACTTCCTATAGACGTTGTTCCCATTCTGTTTTCTCCAACGTGTTTCACTTATAATCCTTATAGTCCCAAAATCACAGCAGAAGAGCACACTTCCCACACATCACCAAAACCCTGCAATATTGTGTGAACTCAACTGCCTTTGTTACCAGCTTACACTTACACCAACTACAAGGTACAAGGGCGTTCATTAAAGAGGGTTATCTTGGATCTGGCAGGCTGCAAGTCTCTACAGAGTGTCTATGTTATGTTATCTCATGCAACCTCTTGAGCTGGTGTTACCATCTTGAGGTCTTTCAAAAGTGTACGTGTCAACCAACATATCGGACAAGACATTGGACAAGAGTTTAGAGAAGAATTCAATTGTTTGCAGGCGTTGGATGAGGAAACTAAGACTCTTTATTTAGCACAGCATGCATCATGGTGAAAGCTACAAAGCTTTTATGGATAAGATGTGCCTCTTCCCACTGTCGTAGCAAAAGGTTGTAAGGTCTGATATTCACCCGTGCAGCTGTAGCCCCCCAAGTACCACACCATCCCGTGGCCATAGCAGTGTGGCTCATCTTTTCCTTCCCTAACGTCCACCGCAACGTCTCCTTCCTCACAAATTTTCCAGAACAAGCAGCTACGGTCATTAACAGTACAAATCATATGAGGACATATGGTGTCCTTCTAACACAGGTGTGCTTCTTCCGTCCCCCCATTCTCCTATGCTCGTGGATTCATTTGAACGTTATAGCCTCGCTCAATGTATTTCAGGTATCCCTGAACAGATGTAGAATGCAGAGTAGTATATTGAAAGAGGGTGTAATGGTTGGCATTAATCAGTGAGCGCCTCTCTTCTGTCAAGACGGGGTATGCGCTGAAGAATCCATCCCCAGAGATGAAGTTTATCACCGCGGTGGAGTGGAAGCAAAAAACAGGCAAGAGGTTCACAAATGTCGAAGATACCACAAGATCAATCTTCATCCCACCACGTGCGAGACTGATGACATCTTCAATGTCAATGTTGGCAACATAATCCTCCTTGTTCTTTGCCTCTTCCTGCACTACATCATATCCTTCACTGTTCTTAAAACACCACAGCATCCTATCTCTTGAAAAACTCGGCACATACACATCCATGTCCCATGGCTCCCATCCACTCCAACCTTCAAAAAACGTCATGGCCACAGAACCAGAGATGACACTCTTCACTTTTTGTAACATGGCAAGGAACAGGCGGGGCAACTGCACAAAGTGTGTTAAAGCACCATCAATCATGCCCTCAGATGACTCTGGACAACAGCATGATTCGTATGGGATGTGCCTCCATACAGCATAGCAGTCCTGACATTGCAGTGTGAGAGAACTCATTCAACAAGCTCTGTGGCGCATTTCCAAACCAGCAAACTGTTACGGTTGCCAAAGTACAATGGAGGGGGAGGATTCATGGCGATGAGTGATTGTAAGGGTGAAGGCATGTCCTATTTTCCAACTGTTCTCTTTTGCTCCTCCTATCAATTCCTTTGCGTTGTTAACAACAGCTCCACCACCTTTTGATATTCAAGGGCTCTCTGACGCTCCCCAATTCACCACATATATGTCAAATTGGCCCTCCCTCCATTTTTCGCCCAATTTTCCACACCATATCTTTCATCCAAGGTTGGTGCATATAATTACTCTTAAAGATGGATGGCTTGACAATGGAGCTTTTCAGATGGCAATAACAATGTACTTGTTTTACATTGGCCTCACCAACTGACCACCAGCCTCCTCAAATCACTCCAAATTGATTTCACAGACAACAATGTGGTACCAACAACCTACCACGAACTCTGTGTGAATGGGCTTATGTTGCCAATGACCCCACATCAACTGACCATACTCACCGTCACCTTCTCTTATACAAAGAGCCGCCGAGCCCTGTGGTTGATAACACCTTGCACCCTGTCACAATCCGTGTTCAAGGGATTATCAAAAAATGCCAGCTTGGACCACTTGCCACCTGGAATGGGTATGCGTTTGTGTTTGGTTATGTTCATGCTCACACTTATTGACATGCTACAGGAGTCTTCAGTCTGCACCATCAGCTGCACAAACTCTCACTCTGCCGCCTAGGTCATTCAAACAACAGTGGCAATCAACATTAGATACCATACACAATGTTTGTCAACTGATATACATCAGCCTTGGTGAACATAACTACAAGGAACCGTCCACTGCTGCTATACAATCCTTGTAAATGCAAAGATGGGTCTTCTCAAAGGTATCTCACACACCTTTCCCTTCACCTCTCTTTTGCTCAATGCTATTCCAGGTGACCTCTGCAAACAAAGAAGAATCCTTCATTCTATGGCAATGTGACGAGCCAACAGAGAGAGCTAAGTCTGTTTTTAACAAGTAGTGAGTATTTAAAAATCACCCCTTGGCCACGTAGACGTGTCGGGCAAATCATACCCCATGTCACACACTCTTTGCCGCAGGGGAGACTTTGTTGATGTTGAAGTCTCTATTGACATTAGCGTCTTTTGTGGCAACTGCACCAAACAGTCGGTTTGTGCTCATCTCAAACTAGAACATATCCTTCAAGTGACATCAATCTCTCAATTGTAATCTGTACATCTTCTCTATCCACCTCTATCTGTGTCCTGTGCCCCACCACTTGAACTACAGCTTGGAGTCGTTGGTGAAAAATATTCAATCAAGAGTTCCAATTCTTCCAAGGACTCTGCCAGGTCATCAGTAGTCAAGGCTCATTTGACATTTGATACACTTCAGGAATTAGATAGCTGCCATCTTTTTGGCTCATTACCGTTACTTAGGTTACTCTTGTTCAAACATAACCCTCAATAAAACCTCTTCATATTCAATAGACACATTATGTCACAATGTCCAATTCCCCTTTTTTCAGTGGCAACAATGCCCTCACTTCATTAATGCTCCACCTGCAGTTCAATTGCCAAAAAACATATGATAGTTCCATGACAAATGGTGAAATTTTGTAGCTAAGTTCTTTTCCGGTGATCTTTACATCCTAACAAACACATGATTTTACAATGACAAATAGTCAATTTCTTCTGGGGTGCCTGCCCGTCAACCATAGTGACTGGCCTCTGTTACTATGAGAATCACAACTTGCACCCCTTCCTGCCTTATTCTGATCCAACAGCAATTTGAAAAATCTTCGAACACGGTACCTCTACAAGAAAGTTTGCCATGCCGACAAATGGCCAACTCTATCCCATATATTTCTCCTCTTGCAATAGCTCCCCCCCACTTCCACCAACATGCCAGCCACCAAGCAAAGTGCTGCTGCAACTACACCCCCACCTCCACCTGTATCCCCAAAGAAAGCCAGGACATTGTGGGACACTTCAGACCCACTCACTGACATCTCTACAGAAACTGAGCCTTCAGATCTTTCCCGAACGCTGTCATCACCTGGTGTGGATTCCCTCCAAGGCAATGCAATGTGGGCATACTCTGACATCTAACTTACTTTGTACCTTTAACCTTTTGAACAGTGTCCTGGGACAGAACACACATGAATATTGCGAAGAAAGTACGACTTTGGGAGAAGAAAACAATCAGCAAGTTGTTTGAATTCTTTAATCCTACAGAGTTTTACTATGCATACATAGGGACATATCCTCACATGACAAAGTCATGAAGTCAGGAGTCATACTTATGGAGGGCTGCTTCAAGTCCCTCAAAGACACCCTTATTGAGCATGTCATTTTGCACTGTTTGATACATTCCCTGTTTAACCACAACATCAGATATGTAACAACCAAGAGTTATTTACTCTGGCGCACACTGGAACACACTATAAAGAAGATGATGGGGAGCGGTTACCCCTTAGGCTGCAGTGAGTTAGTTGTGCTAGACAACAGGAGGACTCGCTGAGTCCTTCCCCATGTATTGGTCTTGTATATATACTAAAATACATGAGGTACTGTACAGTTATAAATAAAGTTCAAAGTCTGATGTCTAGCATGTGACCGGTCACATGATGAATTTAGTCACTGGTCAGGTGATACACATGACTATAAAAAGTTGAAAATGTAAAGTAAAGTAAATGGTCACATGACTGGTCATGTGACTTGGAAAATAAAAGTAGAAGTACAAAAGTGAAGCATAAGTAGGTGCTGGTATGTTAATTGTAACAAGATGTATCAAAGTCTTCGCAAATTATAGGAAGCACTCCAACTTGACTTGTAGTTTTGACACTATGCTTCTCAAATACACTTGAAGTGAAAAACACAAGAAAGATTGGTCTTACTATCTGTGCGACCCCTCAACAAATACTCCATTCACTTTTTGGATTGTTGGGTGCCTCAGCAAGATATGGTTGTTCGAATGGGGCCCAGATGGTGCCCCTCATCCATAAATTTATCTGGCTGTGAACCCCTTTAGTGCATGTCGTCGCCAATTCAATCTTAGCGCTTGAAAGACTGAAAAAAGGGTGGAAGGGCCTCATCTTTGTGCTGAAAAATGGACTGGCTGGGGGCAAGTGGTTGACGGAAGGCACCTTTACAAGTAATGAGCTCGCCCACACCATATGGTGGTATCTTCGGGGTGGAAATGTTCCTTCTGACATAACTGAGTATCACGATTGGTTGTCACTACTGCAAAGCCTGTAATAAAAGCCTCCTGGCCCATCAAAAATGACTGAGAACAGACGACTGAATATAGATCAAGTGCGCCATCATCATCGGTGCCAGGGGTGCCCGGAGGGCAATGCTATTCATATCAAGCAAGAAGAGATAGCAGATAGCAATTTTCTGGTTTGTCACCAAGTGTAACACTTTTCATCACATGATCACATGATGGCATCAAAGGCCTATCTTATCTTATCAGTACTCAGTGGTGTGACAAGCTCTTTTCAAAACGAACTATGTCGCCGAACACGTCAGCTCGTTCCGAAACGGGCCACGGGTTTCGGAAGGGCACCGTTTTGAAACGAAACGAGACTTTTTTGGCGGGCAACGTTTCGAAACGGTGGCTGCCGAACCGGGCCTAAACTACATTGCCGACTTCGTGCCACAATTTGTCCTGTGTCTACTCTAACAATACAAATATTTGATCGCGCGCATACATAATAAGCACTGTCTTTCATGCTTCAGGCATCCTAGCGAATGCATGGGGACTAGACGATGCTCTACTTATTGAGTGAGCAGCCAGAGGCACTCCCCTGATCTTTCCCAACCAGCTCCTCTTAGACGGCTTTGCTGCATCCGCTATTGGTCCTGAAGCAGCTCGAGGGCTGTTTGTAACGTCTGAAATGAAGTGGGGTCCGGTCATTGCAGTCGTGATAGTGGTCGTTATTCTCCGAACAGGTGAACTACTGGTGGTCAACCGTGAAGCTGAATTCCGTACTGGAGTAAAGCCAGATTGGTTCATATGTAACGCTCTTCTCAATCGGGGTACGTTGGCGTTGGAGTGATTTGGTCTGGTTTCCTTCTCGGGGTAATGACCCTCTGGAGGAACGTCATTCCGTTCATCATCATCTGGAGCTGGCCTCTTCTTGCTCATTGACGGTCCTGATTGCATCAGATCGGTGTATTTCTCTGGAGTCCTTGTTTGAAAGACAGCTAGTTGAGCCACCCTTCTCTCTGCGAATGCAGTGGGGTGGTCCAAATCCGTTGGTGCAGAAATGGTGCCTGCAGCAGATTTGAAGGATGCGGGAGCGATAGCCTGCTGCACGGGAAGAGAAGAGGCGCAAGGAACACTGTGCAATTGAGGATCGCTTGTCAAAATATCTTTAGGGTCACTCGCATAGTTTTCTACCATAGAAGTTTTACTTGCGGCGAGTTTGCTTTGTAGGTTTTGTATCTTCCGTGTCTTGGATTCCACTTTGGCGGTTAATTTTTTATTCACCTTCAGTGTTCTAAATGACGAGTAAGCCTGTGTCATTTTGATAGCGGCAAACAATAGACTAACTCGAGGATGCGATCGTCATACTCTTCAATTTCTATGCACTTGTTTCGTAGTATCTCATCCATCTCGCGGTTCTTCTCACGTAATTCATGGACAACCTCTTCAAGATTAGGTATGAACTTCAGAGCAGCAAGTTCACGATGAAGGGTTGAGAGGACTGGTTCATGCTGGGCGGCTTGAAGAGCAAGATTAATCTCGGCTGCCTTTGATGTTTTTTCAGACTGGTCCAACTCTAGGTGTATTCTATCAAGGGCTTCCTCCAGACTAGAGTTTAATTCATAACTGGAGGTAACATAAATGTATCAGTCGCTTCAATTTACAAAACAACAAAACATTACACACCTCTCTTTAATTTGTCCCTCCAGGTATCTGGTCAAAGAAAGTGACTTCTGAATCTCGGCCTTTAAGCAAGTGTTTTCGGTCAGGAGACAGTGCTTCTCCGCTTGAAGTACATAAAGTTCTGATTTAGCGCGATCCAGTTGTTTACGAGTGTCAATGATATGAGCTTGCATTTCGGTCTCATGTGCTTCTCTGTCTCGCATCCGAATATTGCTTTCCTCTCGCAGCTTTTTTTGTGTTTGTTGCAACTCGTAAAGCATCTCATCGACACGTCCGTTGGCCTGCTTTATCTCCTGTGAAAGTTTTAGCTTAGTCGTAGTAACGATATGCTCGTGATCTTCATCCTTGCTCAATACCTCGCCGTTGGCATGTGCTAGCTTGCGACTATAATCGTCTTCGACTTCGGCTAGCCTTTGCACAGTTCCACGATGAAGGCAATCTAGTCGAACGTATGACTGCTGAGCCGTCTCTAGGACTGCACTTGCGGAACAGAGTTCCTCTTTTAAGTGATTCAATTGCTGGCCTTGGTCTGTCTGAATTTTGGCATGCTTTACTTCAAGCTCCTGCAATGACAAAACTGCCTCTTCTCGTGTTTGCTGGCAACGAAGTTCCGCATCATCGTGTAGAGATTTGATGTTGTCGAGCTCTCCTTTTAAATGTTTGAGTTCTGCCTGCAGCTCGTCAGGATCATCTGCATGCAAGCGGCTCAGCATTTCCATTGCATACTCAAGTTGGCATTCTGAAGGTGAAATGCCACACTCGATAAGGGGCTTGACGTCGGCGTGTATCTGACGTCTAAAGGCACTCAAGCCGGTATGTGTGGCCGCCAAAGCAATGGTCATTTGGAACAACTCCGCGTCCCGTGCTTTGAGGGAGTTTACCAGGGAATGCCGTAATAACACGCCCTCTTCCAGATCCGCCTCGATGACTTTGTAGCGCTGGTGCCACTCGTCAGATATAGTCACAGTAGCCTTCTCTAGCTCATCCACCCTACGCTCCGACTGCAGGATAGCTTGAATGTGTTGGGTAGCAGAACGTTGAAGAATCCTGATGGTAATCCTCGACTGTGTAACAGTTGCTGCGAATGCTGAAATCGTTGCTACCAGAGCTCCTTGTCCTTCCTCCTCAACTACCCTCAATCGTTCTTCCATCCTTTCCAGGTCAAGTTCGGCGGTTTCCAGTTTCTTGAGCGTCTCGTCCCTTGCCTCTCTCGCCTCTGCGCAATCTCCAACCATCGCGTCTTTCTGTGCTCCCAGAGTCTCCAGCTCTGAAGCCATCTCTGCAACCCGTTCATCCTGTAACCTTAAATTTGTCTCCAGCCGGCGAATGTCATGTTGATGGATACCGATTTGTTCCGTTCGGCGAAGTACACGCATCTCGAGATCTGCAATCTGATTTCGTGTGACGTCACTGGAAGGCATGGGTAAGAGATGTTGCGCCTGCAGGTCACCGTATCGACGTTGTGCATTCACAAGCTCTTCCTTCGCAAGAATTAATTCCGATTGAAGATCAGTAACCTGAGCACAGAGAGATTTCCGTTGAGAATCGGTATCTTGGTAGGACTTTGTGATATCAGACAGCTGACATCCCATTTGATCCAAAGTATCTTTCGTGCCCTTGAGTTCACTTGTGAGAGCTTTTTCCCTAAACGTTAAGCCTGAAACACTACCATCCCGGCTCGATTTCCACTGCATCAACTCTTTCGTGAGATTCTCCAATTCCATGTGTAAGCCTTGCACTCGGGAGTTACTCTCTTCCAACAGGCGCGCTTGATCTTCCGCAAATTTACAAACGTCCTGCAGGTGCTCGTCTGCGACTAGGAGATTAGAAGTAACTTCTGACAAGCGCCCTTCGGTGGAGTCAGCATGCTGCTGCAAGTGATTATACATGATAGCGAAAACGGTTGCTGCTGTAGTCAGATGTGTGATCTCTCGTTCCCGAATGATTGAACCTCTGTCGAGGGAAGCAGCTGCATCTTGGATTTTAGATTCTGAGTCGTTGGGGAACTCCAGGGAAGGTTCGTTCAAGTTTGCAGAAGATGAAATAAGCCAATGCCCGCAGTGATCTGACGCTCAAGCTCTCCTAGTGCAGCCACGTCTTGTATTATATAATACTATTTTTCCGAAAATATACCGAAACATTAACACATTGTTGAACACCCACCGCTGACTGGCATAATATGCTATGGCAACTATGTTGCCCTATTTGTACTCACCGGAAATCACTCAGCCTTTGCACCACATCAAAGCCATTCCAACCGAACATAGATATAAAATATAATATTTAATTGAACTCAGTGACCAGTGTGTGTACAAAAAAAACATGCTGCAAACATGAGGAAATTTATATAACATATTGAATTTTTCAGGGGACACTACCAGCACATCAGGAAATTGGGGAGGAGCTGTTATAGCCAGGCAGAGTTGATAACTATTCGCCAAAATGCTGTGTCCCGATAGTGGCTTGTATGTATTGATGAAGCATTACCAGATATTAGCAGAGTGATAGTACACTGCACTTATATGATATGGCAAGCCTCATAATGTTATTCAACTGGTAATTAGTAATACAAGTGAGGGTGATTGTAGTTGAAGTCATCTCAATGGTTCACACAGGTATAATTATGTGATGCTTTGACATCTGTGTTCATGATTCAACGTCAGACTGTCAGATTTTGTGAAGGATGTGTCTTCATGATATAAGCTAGTAATCATATCTCACATTCACAAACTGAGCCAGGGACAATTGCTGTATGCTCCAGCAGTACTGCAAATGACTGTAATCTTTCTAATAAGACTATAAGTAACAGTAACTTGAAACTTGAATGAACCAATTCTTCTGAGAAAGAGGAGCTAACACTACAAACTGCAATTCGAGTTTACTAATCATAATTGTATCCTACTACATCTGTCCCATCTAGATCCAGTAACAATTTGTCAGTGTCCAAGTCCTCATCTGAGTCTTGATTGTAGCTGAAGTCTTCGCCTTCACGGTCTTGCAGTGTAAATTCTGGGTTGACGTCCTCTTCAATAAATACATTGCCGTCCTCCCCGTTATTTTTATCAAGCTGATCTCACTGGTAATTGTCTGTCTCAGAAGTTTGGACAGCACTGCTACTGGGTAGGTACTCCGTGAAGTCGTTTGTGGCAAAGACCACAAGTCTGTCAATGCCTTCAGATGCTTCACCGCAGGCATATGTGTGGCCAATCCCCAAGCAACAATGATAACACATAATCATGTCTCAATCTACAAACCTGTAAGAAAAATATTGGTGGGTTTTTTTAGCGTTAAATATCACTGGGACTAACCAATTGATGTAGTACTTTTTCCAATCTTGTGCATCCTGAGCAAATTTGGACATCCCAATGCCATCAGGATGTAATTTCCCTTTGTGAAATGCTGGTACTAGGTGGCAGCTCCGCAGAACATTGGCTGGGTTGACAAAGCCGAAAGCATCATCTTCAGCCATGGGAACAAAATGTAGCATGTTCAGTTTGTACCAGCCTGAGTCTGTTTCTCTGTCCAAAGGACTGCACAATTTGTACCACCTCACAATTAGAAATTTCATCTTACATGTGTGATAAGTTGTGACTTTTTGACCAGTACATACAATGTTTGCGTGGTAAATGCTCAGGACACAAGCATAATAGAATGGGTGGGAGGGGCATCGCAGATTGGTGTTGCATCCATCCAGAGGAGCTAGTAACATGATATTGCAATGATCTGTGCGTGGGTTAACAATATCTTGTGCTCGGCGGATGTTGTATATTGTATGTTGTGTAGTTGATGCGAAAGACGTTGTGAGTATACATTCTGTCATTTTTTAATATGACTTGAATGGAAGGTTGCTGGTTTGGTGAGGGATCATTAAGGTGACACTTGGAAACATTAGGAGCGAGAAGAGTCGATTGCATATGGTGAAACAAGTGAACCTTGAGGTTTGGTACAAAATCCTATAGCAAATCAGATTGATACTGGCATTGTACAGTATTAATTTATCTCTTACCGTGCAAGCTGGATTGAGGGAGTACATTTTGGAGAAGAATGTGATGTGCAAAGGTGAGTTTTGAGACTTCCCTATGTGATGATTGTCATCAAGAGTGCTGGCCTCCTGATCAGCAGTGATGGCAGATCCTCAGAAGACATGCCAAGCTTCTGGCGCATGAGATGTATACAGGCCTCCTGATGCTCAATGTGAGTAAGCTGTTCAGTGTAGGTTTTCTTGCTGGTTCTTTTGTATCTAGACTTCCCTGTCCGGTGCTCTAATTCACCCTGGGCACCGGTTATTACAAATGAAGCAAGATATGTTTAGGTGAACTTACAGGCTCAGTGGAATAGGAGTCTGTAGTGCCAAAGAACCTGATTTGTGCAGGATAATCCCCAAGCGCATGGAGTTTATAGGTTTGTAGGTTGAATGTCTTGGGTTTTTGGGCAGCTCCTGATGATGTTGACTGAATGTCAGTGCCTTGCTGGATTTGACGGCACCTTTGTGCATCGGCTTCGCCCCGGAGTTCCCTAGTAAAGAAGGCAGAGCAAGTATTTGCAGCAAATTTTGTAATTTATCACCTAGACTTTTAGTTACTGCATCTAATATTTTCAGAGTATTGTCAGTATGCATGCATAGTTTAGCTAACCGTGCCAATGAGCCATACAGAGTAGCACATCAGGAAAAAACACTTTGGCTATATAGGCTCTTATAGTACTATAGTTGTAATAGAAACCCCAGCATCTATTCAGGAATAATGTGCTCTTATAGTATTCTTATAGTTGACTATAGTTCCAAGAGACTTGTATAGTAGCATCAATACTATGACAGCATTTGCTATGAACATAGCATTTACAGCATTTAAAGCATCCATAGCACCCATAGCACCCATACACTCATAGCACTCATCTAATACATTGATACTATGGTAGCATTTAGGGCAGATATTACACTCAATGCACTTGTTACACTCAGAGCAGCTAAATAATGCAATAAAAACAGCACAATAATATTTTTTACTTCTAGCAACAATGAAATGTAGGATACATAGATAGAAAACAAGGAATACCATCAAGCAGTATGCTCAACAACAGTGACAGTGCCTTCCAGGGCTTTAAAATCAATACCAAAATCTTCATCTTTCATATAATCGTCATCAATCCCTAGATAGTGAAGATTTGCCAGATTTCTATTTTGATAAATCAGTAGCTGTAAAAGCTCAAGTATTGATGCTTACAAAATGTCCTGGTACAAGCCATCTCTCATTTTCTTCGTCCAGATAGGACTTTTCCTCTGAAGAACTGACAACTTTTTGAAGTAGTATTCCCACCTAAGCAATATTGAAAACAAGTCAATGTAAATATGTAATAACTTACCTGATTTTGAAAACATTCTCTGAGAACTCAATTGTGGCCTTGTTGCCATTCATATATGCTCTGAGTCAACATTCAATCTGAAAGCATAATAAGATAAACACCTGGATAAAGAAGGCTAGAACTTACAGCTGTGGTAACTGATTATGTATTAAGTCCTTGAAGGTCTGATGAGAAAAAGATTTCTGCTTGTTAAACATTCTGGCCTTAAAAATGGTTAAGATTGACGTCAATATGGGGAGAAAAATAGCTCACCTTGATGTCAAGATCACCATCAGCAAATGCACCAGTCTCTAAAAGCCATGTTACGACTTCTTTGATCTGAGCTGGCGTCATATCACCAGGAATATGGTAAGCACCATTGATCATAAAATGAGCTTTGGCTACAATTTTTCCCCAGACCTGGGCTGTTACGATCTCTATTGGACATTTAAGGACTACTCATTTTTTTTTACTCATCGGTTATACCATTGGACCGATGACTCATTTCCTTCACATACACTTCCGTTCCTCTCGCATTCACAGTACCTATTATAGTACATAGTCCTCAACAGACGGACCAGCCCTAGATAGGACCTAACTCCTATCACCGATTCCTTTCCATTATAAATACCGTGTAACAGCAGTAGTATTCTCTAATACGATTCTACGCAGTTTACGCTTACAAAGCTAGACTCCTAAGATCAAGACTTCTACTCAGAAGAAGACCAACTCTCGTTGGAAGACCTCCACTCAGAACTATGTTCTCGAACTTGTCTTCGGATAAGTCTCTTTATAAAACCTCGACAAACCCTCAGACTTTGTTAAGCACTTTGTGCGTAACATGGGCAACAACAGACCAAACCTAGTAAAAAGAGTCATTGATTAGTATGATATTATTAGAAGTGGTGACACATACATAGTCAATTGATGTGTTTTTGATTTCTTCATTGCTGTTAACCTCTAGAAGCTTGGCTTGTATATCTTCTTGGCCTTTTGAAGCATCAATGAGCCTTTTCCAAGAAAATTTGGGCCGGCAGGTAGGTGAATCCTTCTTGAGTTACAATATGCAGTCTCATGACAGCATGCCCAGTGGTAGCAAGATCCAGAAGATAACTGTGAAATATATTGAGGGTGATCCCACGCCTTTTCCCCATCTTTGGCGGTAACGAGAGAGCTGCACGTGTAGAAACAGAGGTAGAGGTAAAAGACATCCTGGACAAAGGTGTAGAAGACTTTCTGGACAAACTAGTCCTCTCCTGTATAACAATAGGCCTGGACTTGGGCTGCTATACAGGCTGTTAGCTTTATGAATGTAAGAAGTATTCAGAAACATACTTGATCATCCAGAATAAGTTGATCAACATCTTAGCAGCACATAAGTATTTTCATCTAGAAATGATTATATCTTACCATCTGGTCTAGCACCCTCATCCTCATCATAATCATTGCTGCTTCCATCCTCACCTATGCGTGGCTTTCGAGTTAGGACCCCTTGAAAATCTTCCTCATCAGAATTAACTAGCTGTTTTCTTTCTCGTTGCTGAGGGAGATGAGTGTATTCTTTATAAATCCAGAATACATGTCTTACCTATGTATTTGGCTTCCATTGCCTCTTTCTGAGCTGCCTGGGTAGATTGTACCCTGGCATTCATAGTCAAAGTAACTGCATTGTTTTGCCCCTTGGAGGCATTAACTTTAGATTTACCCTTCGTATTTTTTTGCCTGCCATCAAAGTTGACCAGCCTATGAGAAAGTAAACAGAGAATCAAGTATAACAGAGAAGTGAAAATTTACCCACAGAGTTTAGGGCAGGCATTCTGGTTAGAATATGAATAACTCCTGACAATACCTCTGAGAATTGCTGAAAAATGCATACAAGAGTTGTATAGTAGTACTATAGACAGTGTATTTATGCAAAGGGCCTCATGGCTTCATTTTCCTGCCAGCCATTTCTATAAGCAGCCCATGAAACAAATTCATGATCAGTATGAAGTACTATGGATGTACATTTACCATAATAAAGGTTGAGATGAGTGATATCAGACAACCTAAAAATTGCAAAGTCCCCATGATTCAGCTCAATGACAAGGCCTGTCTCAACCATCATGGGAACCATCCCCCCTGAATGTTCCAATGGGGAGAACCAGGCAAAACTCCTGGTCCTTGCTTTCACGGTGAGCCTTTGTCTGTACATTGATATTGATGACCAGTGAGAGAAAGGGGGAGGCTGGGAAGTTGTGGTTTCCTGGTAAGATGGACGCAATTTGCTCAAGCATCTGGCAGTTTTCAGGCAGGTGGGTTTGCATCTAATACATCAATGAGATACCTGTGAGAAAATATTGAGAACCACTTGCAATACCATGTATCCAGTTAAACAGCTCTTTGAAGATGGCCTTGAGGGACTGAAACATTTTCTGGTTGTCTTTGATGTCCTTGGAGATGTATGGGATCACCTGGTATGTACACAGCCAACTCTGTCAAGCATAGAAGGAGGGATATTAGAGGGAGCTTCATGGCCCTGTGGAGCATCAGCAATAGGGAACATATTACAAGTAAACAACTCCACCTTGGTACAGTGGCGGTTGTACCATGACAAGTAAAGTAATTGAAAGGTAGAGTCAACATCAACACGGGTGTTCTTCTCTGTCAATAGATCCGGGGTCCCAAACACTGCTAGTAGGTTGTTTGTAAGATAATTTTGTATTTTTGCTGGAAGACTCATGCAGATGAATGCCATTGGTGTCTCATCATAGTTACGGATATCCACCAGGGAGCTTCGGACAAGTGAGAAATCAGCCATTGGAAATTTGTGAAAGATGTACTTGGGAATAGCATCCATGGGGATACAAATGTAGGCATCATTGGATATCTTCATTTGTTCTTTGTAGTGCCCGCGGAGCTGACAACAAATGAGCTATTATATGTATTATAACATACTGAAGATGAATTATATACCTGTGATTGCAAATCATCTACGTCATTTCCTCTGTTGCCCTTCTCAGCACGCTCTTGTTCACACTCTGTCCAGATATTGTTGGCTTGATGATCATGCTCTGCTCGGAAATGCTTAATTTGAGGCAGTAATTTGCCATAGACAGTGAGTATGACTATCTTCTCCTTTTCCGCGCCTTTTTGCTGAACAATTAAATGTGAAACCCATTCATCTTCACCATCATGTTCTGAAGATTCCAAATAGTCTTGTGAATCCGATTGAGGAGGGCTGTAAGGTCTAGGGAGGAAAATTTTCATTGGCGCAAGGAGCTTATAGCCAAGCTGATGGAGCGGAATAGGCATATTAAGGCTGGCGTCAACAGTGTTGATGATGAGAACTGTTGTTAGAAAACCACACACAATACAAACTAACACACAATTCCCAGATTCTACTGAACTTGTTTATGGGTTTTGCTCATAGAACAGTGGGAGCTCTGGTTGTTTGTGGGGTGGTATGTATGATGATCCTTCAAAGTAAAACCCAGAAATGTATGGGTGTGGGTTTTGAGTAGGAGGGATAGTTGAACTATAGAAGATAGGGGCTTTTTGAGACAAATATAGGATGAGCACTACCTTGCTAATCTTAGCACAAGGTAGGTTTGAGAATGACAAGATAACGAGGTTCCTGGTGATAGCAGGCTCCTGATGCACAAACTGTAGTGCTCAGAAGGACTCTAATTGAAAGGGATGACAATCACTTTCAAAAGTGATGAGTGACAATGACAGCAGTTAACAGTAGTAACAGTGGGAAGTGTTGTGACCACACTGGATCACAAGTAGCAGAGTAGTGAACTTGAGATTTAGAGAAGAAGTCTGGATTGGATTTCTTGTTTTTTTATTATTTTTTACAAGGTAGAATACAGGGGTTTATATAGTAAAAGAAAAGTAGGCTATGCACAGTATAGCTGTGCAAAAAGAATGAGAAAGAACATGAAGGAAGGAATGTACACTGACAAATCCTGCATAGGTAGTACAGGATAAGATTGTCAAAAAAAGGAAAAGAAAGGGATAGAACAATGAATGCTGTGAGTAATGTCACAGGTTTGTACAGCCATAAAGTAAACTCCAATAGCAAAAAGAGAGCAGGAAAATCATGATGTCATGGGAAGATGCAGTAAAAAAAAGGGCAAGGCAAAACACTATCAGTATCAACACAGTTCCTTTATTGTCAGTCAGGCATTCTAAAAAAATATGTGTCCATAAAAATGATTCAAAAATCAAAATAATCACACTGCAAATGAATGTTCTGCTGAAAAAAAAGAAACTGGAGCCACCAGTCCACCACCTAGTCCAAATCCGATGGTTCCATGGCCTTACCAATGGACTGGTTGTGTTGGACCACCTGGACAAACGAGGGAGGGAGAGGAGTAGTTCAAATTTGGAACAAGTGAGTCCCAGGCAGCGTGTGGTAGGTGTAGCTGTAGCAAAGACAATGGATAAAAGATAAGTGTACCCAAGTGAATGGGACAGCAATGAACCTTCTCCAGCTCAAAAACTACCCACCCACGCTCCAACCAGGTGAGATGAGCAACTGATGTTTTGATAGTATATGATGGCAGATCGATGTCATGAAGATGGACCTGTTGCCCTATTTGGACCGGCCACCGGGGCTTTGCTGATATTAGCAGTGGTACGTGGTAGTCGACAGATTGGCAACAGAAGCGGATAGGAAGTGGTGACATCAGAAATGGTGGGGGAGCAAAGAAGATGAGGAGGAGGAGGCTGGAGATGACAAAGAGGTGGATTAGAATGGGGATCCAGAAACGACCGTTGGGTGAGAATAAAAAGGAGAGGAAGGGGCCCATGGTGGGGCTAGACAAAGGAAGGGGAGTAAGGGAAACAATGAAGGCGAGGGCGCAATGCAATGTGTAGCCAGTGGCAACGCAAAAATTTGCCGAAATGCCGAAACACGGAAAGTACCGAATGGAAAGCAAAGGTGAGCGCGACTGGATTGCCTAATAGAGGTGGTGCTGATCAGCCACAAGATTGAAAAAGGCAATATTAATTACTATTGCACGTGGCACTGTGCCTGTGTGGCGCAAAGGCGAGTCTTTTTGAATATTCACTTTGTTATTGACACCTGTCCATGCTACCAATCAACTTTGGTGCATGACAACGGTAGTATTGTAACATGACACCCAATGTTGAGCATTTCAATTTTGTAGTGTAAAATTGCTGTGTATAAAAAAAATCAGGCAATGATAGAATGCAAGAATGAATGAGACAAATAAGTGACTTACTTAAAAATCATCGAGGCAAAAAATCTGTCGGAGGATGCATGTAACAACCAAGAGTTAGTTACTCTGGTGCACAACTAGAACCAACTATAGAGATAAATGATGAGGGAGTGGTTACCCTTTAGGCTTCAACAAGTTAGTTGTGAGGATACAACAGGAGGACTTGCTGAGGAGTCTCCTTGATCTATTGATCTATATATACTACTACAGGTTTGTTTGTACATATGTACTGTATAGTTGATAGAGGCAGTGGCTGATGATGTCATGGGGCCTAGCCCGTGTGACTAGCTCCACTGCGTGAGAGACTTATAGTTAAAATAAGAAGAAGGGCAGCGCAGCGCAAAAAAGAGGAGTTTGAACAAAAGGGAAAGTGCCGCATGGCACAATGTGAGAAAACTACAGTAAAAGGTTAAAGAAGAGAATGAAAATTAAAGGTCCAAAAATGTGTTATTGTAACAATGCAATGTCAGTGCAATCAAACTCCCGAGCAATTTGGTGTTCTGAAAGTGTTGATGGGGAGAGCAATGAGGCCATACTGATCGGAAATAGATGGCGCATGCAACTGATAGTGGGTAGGATAGAATCTATTATCAGATCACCCTCCACAATTCCTGACTGAAATATTAGCCAAACAATATCCTTTGCCATAGCACAGGTCATACTCACCGGGGATGGGAGATTGTAGAAGGTTGGCCAAGTCCCATGGCAGGGTGCCCTCCATTCTGGTGATGGATACCCTGAGACCAAGTCCTGCAACCAGAATCAGTATATAGACTGACCCGCCTCCGGCAATCACAGCAAACTTACTGCCAATCAAATGCCAGTCTTGAAAAGTTTGTTTGCTGGGCTTTGTGGGGGGATGGGCGACTTCTGTATTGTAGATACCGTTGAGAGACTATCGAGTATGGAGTTTAATGCTAGAGAAACTGTAGTGTACTAGATCAAATCCATCAGATGCTAATGGATATCAAAATGACTCACCTCTGCCTTTTTGAAACAGCTTCATGCCAGAAATGTCTACTATGTCCACATATATCACTACCATATCTCCTAACGCTTCAGTAAGTCATTTTTTGATCACATTACGCCTGGATAGGCTTATAAACTTACTCCAATAGCTGCTGCTGCTCCGTTGCACCAGGTCTTTCACCCATCCAAAGGTATTTTTGCTGTGTCTTACTTTGTTGCCCCACACTAACTACCTGGCCTTTGTCTCCTCACTGTCTAGTTCAGCGAGTTTGTTATGAAGGGCCCAAAACAATATTTCTATAGGTTTATGGACCCTCTTTTGAAGAAGGAGGCTATACCCCTTAAAGTGTCCTGCGCACTGGAGGATTTTCTTTTAGTAATTTTCCCTTTATCTCACATTTTTACAGGTCAATATGGGACAGAAGCCATGAGTGTTAGCTCTGATAACTGCACCAACCCCAAAGCCCTTTTGCCAGCAAATTGGAGGAGTGTCCATACATTAGCTGAACTCAACGATGGGAGAAGAACTAGGTCCCCCTCCATGAGCAGCTTTTTCAGCTAATAGGGCGGACTTCATTCCTCAGAGCTGCACAAGATCACCAGCTCCATATCTTGGGCTTTGCTTTATGTGGAGCATCATTTACTCTCCTGTACATAGGTGAAGGTGGTTTATCCTGACATTTGAACTCCACCTCCACCAACAGCCATTTTTATTCTTACATATTGTCCTGGGCTTTACTCACAGCATGGATGTTTGCATGGGGTATGATGTAACAGCTAGCACAACCCACATCAAGATGTCAGTGCTTGGTGAGCTCAAAACACACTACATCTTGTTCATCTCAGACAGCATTCATGGATGTGGCATGGTAGTCCATTGAGCTCAAGTCCCTGCTTTTGCCAATTTCACTTCCCCTCAAATTTCCCGCTTAAAAGGCATTAATATCATTGTCAAAGACATCTGACATGATGTTTGCTGACTACTCACGGAGGGTATAATCTTGCACTTACTTGAGGCCAAAGGAGTTGATTAGTGAGGAGAAAGGCCAAGATTCAAGGCAGTGGGGTGAGGGAATAGATGGTTGGCCGCCCCCGCAGTACAATTGTATATGCAACATCTGCAATTCTCTCAATACCATTGCGATCAAAGTCATGAAGAGTGGCTCTGGCAGATTCCTGTCAGCCATATCAGCTTTGAGCATACATCTGTTCTACTGTACCACTACCACTACTCCAGCCGTTGCTCTTATAACGGACTTCAACTGTTTGGAGGAGCTTCTAGTTGTTACAATTGATCATATCACAAGTCAGTCAACTAACTAAACATTATACCTGCCCCGCCACTAACACATGTATAAGGCCATGCAATGGCATATAGCTCCAGACACTATTCGTCCTCTGCAAGCCATTCTTTTCCAGTCAGGATCTTGTACCGTGATGTTTTTACAAGTAATTCACTTATATTATAGAAGACAAGCAGAACATAGCAGGCCCATCCATTCATCCAAACTCAATTGTCTTAGATGATGATGAGGATGAATGTATAGAGGTGGAACATCCTACTGCTGGCAAGGCCATAAGTATGGTTGAGACTTTACATCAGAGGTGGAGAAGAGAATTTTTTAGGGCAGGTGGAGGCGGAGATAGAGGTGGAGATAGAGGTGAAGATGTAGATGGGTGAAGATCCAGATCCCAAGTTCTTTCCCTTCGCCTCAGAGATGATTGGAGGGTAGCCTGCTAGGTAATTCAAGATGGTATAGGGTATCAGTCATTTGATCAACTGCTAAGTATTCTAGGTGTCAGTGATTTTTCACAATTTTTATGTGATTTGCTCATATCTTTTCCCAGGTCAAAGATAAGCTTGGCTTGTCATACCATGATATACATGCATTACACAATTTTGTCGACCACAACATACCAGCCGGGACTGAATAGAAATCAACCATGATCTCTTTTCCTGACAACACACACCTAATCCAGTACCGTGATGTACTGTCAGCCATCAGAACTCTCCTAGGAAATCCAGCCCATGCTGAAAATATAGTCTATCGTCCCAAAAAGGTTTTTACAGATGCAAGTAGAGAGAGATTCAAGGATATACCTGAGATGTGGACAGGGAAATGGTGGCATGCTATCCAGGTGAGCATGGCCTGTGTGAATCTTCTACATTGACTTATACAATCTTTGGAATAAGCCCATCTACCATCTGGGGCAGCCTTGGAACCTGTTATCATTTCAACAGACAAAACGCAGCTCACACAATTCTCCGACTCTAAATCAGCTTATCCTGTCTATCTCACGTTGGGAAACATACCCAGAGCCATAAGACACAAGCCAAGCCAACATGCTTGCATTCTCATAGGGTATCTGTCTGTCAATAAAGTTAGGGGATCTCAGCTTACAGCAAAGGCAAAGTTAGTAAGAGTTCAGTGTCTATTCCATGAGTCTATGATGGTCATACTAGAACCTTTGAAGAAGGCTGGCATTGAAGGGATGGACATCACTGGGAGTGATGGGGCTGTCAGGAGAGTTTATCCTGTTTTAGCTTGCTACATTGCAGATTATCCAGAACAATGTCTAGTGACATGTACAAAGTATGGCACCTGTCCCAAATGCAAAGGCCTGCTTCTGAGCTTTCAGAATCTACTCCTGGAGAGCCACATATGCAGAACTGGACAGAAAAAGTCATTCAGAATGCTAGAGCTAATAGAGAGTCCTTCAATCAATTTCAAGAGAGATGTCAGGATAACAATGTCTCTGGCGTTTATGAGCCATTCTGGCTTAACTTCCCTCATTGCAACATTCATTTATCTGTTTCCCCCGACATTCTCCATCAACTATACCAAAATGTTTTTAAGCATATGGTGAACTGGTGCAAGGACCTTATGGATCCCAAGGAGCTTGACCAACACATTTCCTCCCTTCCTGCTTGCTATGGTGTTTGTCATTTCAGAAATGGAATTTCTGCATTAGGCCGGAGTAGTGGAAAGGAAAGAAAGGATATGGCCCACATATTGCTAGGATATTTGATTGGAAAGATTCCAAGGAGCGCTATACTTGCATACTGATCCCTCTTGGACTTTATCCAGATAGCACAGTATCCCACTCATGACAACACCACCCTGGGCTATCTTTCAGATGCTTTGGACACTTTCCACAAACACAAAGATATATTGGTACAACTCAACATAAGAGAACACCTGAATATCCCTAAATTCCACCCTCTCCTCCACTACTGCCAGTTCATCACATGATTTGAAACCACCAACAATTACAACACCAAGATGTTTGAGTGCTTCCATATCAACTTTGCAAAAGAAGGTTGGATGGCTTCTAATAAAAAAAATGAAGCACCACAAATGGTGACATGGCTTCTGCGTTGTGAAAAGGTGGTCACTTTCCAAAGCTATCTGAAAATGACCATGGATAATGAAGAAGACAAATTCCCTCACTCCAAAATCCAAGACAAAAAGCTTGTCATAGCAAAATACCCTAATCAATGTCAGCAAAGCATTTTGGACGTCATGGAGAAGCATCAGTGTCCTGGATTTGAATCAGCAATCAAAGTCTTCCTTAACAGTAAACTAACTCACCCAAATACACATTGTGAAACCAGATTACTATCCCTTCCATTTTAAAACCTCGATATCTTCCATGGCCTCAAATTCTGTTTAGATAGCCTAGGCAATGATGTTGACCTGGAGAATGACCAGGTAGATTCCATCAAAGCCAGGCCAAGTGGAAAAAACAATCTATTACTGCAGTTTGACATAGTGGTTGTGATGAGTTCTCCTGATTGAAAAGGTAATGTTTCTCTTACCCTATGACCACAAGCACGTCTAATACTAATGACTGTATTCAATGAACAAGAATTGGGAGATTGAGAGTTATATTTAAACTACCTGAAACACTATACAGTTTCCACACATCCCCCAATAATTGGCCAAAACATCATTTGGCATATGTAGAGTGGTATAGCAACCTCAAATCCACAGCTGAACAGGACCACTTAATGTATTTTGTTAATAAGGTACCTCTAAACACTGAAGGTTTTCCTCCAGGACAAATTATCCCTGCTTTTGGTGGTTTGCATGATACATGTCCTCATCATTGGACTCATAGTAATGTTCTGGATGTTTGTCACAAATTTTATCTTAATAACTTTAGTAGCAAATATGCATATCAAACATTATGGTAGTTATATATAGCATTTTAAATTTTGCGTCTATAATAATATTATTGCTTTTGTTGCTCCCATTGCTCTTATTGCTCATATAACACCATAGTCACTATGATCATACTATAGTTGCTCTTAAAGTACTATAGGGACTTTGATCGTATCATAGTTGCTCTTATAGTGCTATAGGTGCTATAATAGGCTTTATTTGCACATATGTACAAACCCCTCTGCTATATAGCAAAAGGCTTTTTCCTGATGCAAGCTCAATATTTGAGTGTTGTGTGGTTTTGGAATTAAGCCATTGAATACAGGAATGGCGCACTGTATAGTGGAAGAATTAAAATGCTGCAAAAATGTCAAAAGAAATGTGAAGGGCTTACCTGCAGCAAGTCTTCAAGATGGTGGGCTGTTATTCTCCACATTTCAGATGTGTCAGCTGTGAATTGCCGGATAGTATCACTTTCTGTAAGTTAGGATCTGGCGATATCTTTGACAATTATTGACACTGAGTTGTAAGAGAATGAACAAAGACTAACCTTAGATACAATCTATCTAAGAGCCCCCCATTGACAATATCTAATATCCATAGAAGATGGACAAAAGGGACTTCCACACCCCTAGCTCGACCTCATGCATGAAATTGACAACAAACATCGAATATACATTGAAACCCAATGGACCCAACCTGTGGGAGAATGCATTCTGTAATGTGGAAAAGTGCTAGCAGTCAGTGTGTTGCCCATCTTCAGACACCACTACTATGCACCAAAGTTGGAACTAAGGATTCAGCCATCAGGAATCCATTAACTTTGTTGCTGTTCACAGCATAATTCTTCTTGTAGATCAAATCATGAGCAACTGCAACCTTCTTCCGCTGTTCAGCTTTGTCAATGCGGATTTTGAAAACTTGATTTAGCATATCAGCATCTTGCCCAACATTGGGAACCAAAGTCATAGGTATTAAACACCAAGGACAGGGACGGTTTCCAAGGTTTTTTATACTCGCTATTAGTATCCTACATAAAATGAGCAAGATTGTTGCACAGAACACATTGGACCTACTTTTCAGGGTAATCTGCCAAATATGTTAGGATGCGGGGATAAAACCGACAATCAATGCCATCATAACACTTGATGATGACACCATGCTAATATGCATGTAGGAATTCCCCTCGCTATCGGCCCAATTCCGTCCCCACTGAGGAAATTGAACAGATGTTGCAGATGTCGGGGCCTCATCATCAAGTAGAATACACCATTGTGCGTGAAAACACTTGCACTGACAATGTGTCATGAAGGCGCTAGTAAGCTTGCTGTTGCCGGCATGAGTCTTTGCAAAATCTTTGAAGCTGTCTGGGAGCTATACATCAATAAAAACAAGCCAAACAGTGTGAATGAGCTACAATAGAGACAGCACTCACAGATTGAAAATAGGCTGAACGGTTGCACAAGTGACAGGATGGTTTGGCACAACAATACTTGGATTCATTGGCAAAATAAACATAAAGCGGGTGTCATACATGAAAAATGATTTATGTATGGACACGGCATTCCACGACATATTCCACAAAAAGTACCTCATCTTGAAGTACACATTTCAAAGTACTATGTCACAAAGTTTTATATTTTGATGACCACTAGTTTTGAAGATATAAGCCAAACAAGAATGCTTATATCACGCTTACTGTCAGCCACTGGCAGCCACCCTGAAATCTGACTACATGGCTTGCACATGGTCAGTTTCTGAAAAGGGAAAGTGAATTTCCCATGACATAATCTGCCTTTTTCTCAACAACCAATTCACCAATCACTCTGATTTTGGGGGAGTAGGTAATACTTTCACGCCCCTATTAGTCTGGATACTTTTGGAGGGCTTCCAAATAATGAAATTCTCCAAAATTCTTGTTTTACTATGGAGAAGGCTGAATTGGCATTTGTTTCTTATAAATTGAACACTGTGCCTGACTGAGTCATATTTTGCTCCACATTTTCAAATTACTTTTCTATTCTTAGTCTCAAAAAGACCACTCTGGAATCATCTAGATTCCCAATAGATGATTCTGGCCTTTTGAATTTCTATTAGATATTTTGGTACTACCATTTGTAATTACCAACTAGGAAGGAGCCCCTATAGCCAAAAGGTATATAAGGAGGCCAACTTTCCACCTAATAAAAAAAAAGCTTTTACTTACAAGCAGTCCCCACATAAGTGGACAACCACTCAGGAGTCAACTAGCTTTCGCCTAGGAAGCATACAAGAGGTATTGCCCACCCTAGGAAGCTTAGTCATCAATTCACGTCTGTCACAGATAACAGTAGTCCAAGTGTGATTACAGTCTGTGATTGCTTATTATTTGCCACAAGTAGCTCTAGTATTCTATAGTCCATCTCAAACTTATATCAGTCATTTATTGATCTGGTGTAAGCTCATCTGCAGTCAGTCACTGAAGCATAGTCAAGTATTGCTTCACCCTTCCATCGACCATCAGTGTATCATAGCTTGTCCTTTATCAAGTGTAGGACACTATTATCTTTATTCTATTAGTCTCTCAACAAGTGAGGACTATCATTGTCACACCTAGTGTTGGCTATATCTTGAAGCTAGTCACACAACGCTTCAAACTCACACGTACCCTCACACTTCTATTCACAATTCACATACTACCACTTGTCCTTTATATCACCAAGGACATATCTACCATTGTCATATTAGTCTTCCAGAGCATGAGAACTATCAACATACTCACAACAAAAGGGATAATTAACTTCCACCCCACGAATAAACTAGGTTATTACCTGTTGTCCAGCTTAGATTGTAAACTTCTGGTAACCCTAGGATAAAGAAGCTTTGGTAGCTATCCTATATTAAACACTTTATCAACAAGACAGTGGCCAAAGTTTTGCATTGCCAAAGGAAGTAAGTTGGGTGGAATCTGACAAAAACATGAAACCAGCCACCACACGTTGAAGGTTGCACCTGGGCTCTGGTGGGAATTCTTGAAGTTCATGATGAACTTTCAGAAATGTGTCCAAAGTATAAGCCTCGCCGTGGACTCGAGCTTTGTGCAATTGATCACTTGGATGCCAAAACAGTTTGTATGGCTCAAAATGAAAAAGCTGGTCATCACGAGGGTTTGCAAGCTTATCACAAAGGATCTGAATGAGTGAACAATGGAACAAATCAGTAAGAAGAACCGAAATGGTTACAGGTGTTTTTTGCCAGCCTGCATCCTGATCCAGTCATTTGCCATTGAGATTATTGAGGCCCAAGTCCTTGTTAATTTTGCTCCACTTCACATTTTGATTGTCTTCAGGACAAAAGGATGGGTTTCCAATGATATCAATGAGCTGCCTGAAAGGTTCCTGCAACTTCTGAACACTATAATTCCAATACCAGTCTCCCAGACAAAAGCAACTTTTGTTTGGGTATGGGCTGAAAGAATGATCACTATGTCCTTCAACTCGAAATAGAGTGAGCGTGTCTTCCGAGGTATCCGAGTTTTCTGAGTCCTCAGGGTCATGTGATGGTAGCTCCTCTCCATGAAATTGGCTTAATAGTCCAAATATGTTCCATGGTGTGTCAGTAAATCTCTTGACACAATCATAAATGGACCCCATGCATGTACTAGCTGGAGGGTGAGAGCTAATGTCCGCAGTGAATGGTTCAAGATGAGAATTATTGGCTTCGAGAACTGAGATGGTCGGTTTGGATGATTGGGATAATAGAGCGGTACATAAAGGAGGAGGAGACTCAGGGAGAAAATCTCGGAAGTGTAGTGGTAGATGTCAATTTGCTCTGCATGTTCTGCGCTGCGCAAGTGGTAAGTTGTTCGAAGACCTGTTCCAGTCTTCACTTGGCTCTATAGGCTGCGGAGTGATCACATTACAGTAGCCGCAGAATTCAGCCAGGTGTGCATTTGTGGTTGTTCTTTTTCTCATATAGGACCATATACTAGGCATCAAAAATCATGCTTGAGGGGGGAAAACGGTTCTCAGGAGTCCTGACCAGGGCAAAGGAAGCCTTTAACAACAAGAAACACCAGTTAGAATTCCAGTCAAGCCATGTTGCACTGGAGTTTGAAGGAACTTCATTGGAACAAGTAGGTGGCGGCAGGGGTCTGTGGGAGCCCAGTAATCATGCCAGTGGTCCTGCCTTTGAATCACTTCAATCCAGCTCCTCTGATACAAACCCAGTGGTAAGATTCATAGTATTCTCAGCACTATTGGAATATTGTTGAAGTTCTCCATACCGCCAGTCGAACTTGAATGACTTAAACTTGAAGGTGAGGACTAGTCAGACCCAGCCAGTTAACTTGAATGTCCCCTATGTCCGAGTGCTAGTAGCTCAAATGATAAAATGGGGCTTACTGTGTACCAAGCAACAATTGCCTGAAGACCACTGACCTTCAAGTTGGCTCTGTAGAGTTATAATCAGCACTGCCACTGGTATCCAAAATGGCAATGCAACTCTCTTGCATGTTCAAGTTGTCTGCAAGTAAGATTGGTTGATGGATCCACTATTACGGTGTAACCTGCACTGCCACTAAAAAAGAGGTGTAATATTGCACTGCCTCAGTGTTCAGAAAAGGCAGTAAGAGAGAAAAAATCACGGCGGTAGAACTAGTGGCAGCACTCACCTTCAAAGTTGGGCCTTCAAGGTTGCTGTGATTTTGTAGCCGATAATGAGGCTAATGTATTGCCAATCTGAGTGAACCTGTCATTCCGAGTCTGAGTCTTACTAGTAAAATATTGTACTAGCACTAGTGGTAACCCTGACAGTTGGTTGTGATAAGTTATAATGTATCTCCGAGTTGTATGTGTGGTGTACTGCCAGTGACTTCACTGGCAAGTCGAACTTGAACTGGCTTGTTGGAAATCTGAACACAACTGTGACTGTCAGCGTAGTAAGTTCAACTTAAAGTTGAAGTTCCTCCTGCCCACCATTGGCAACTGTAATGCATGCCTCTCTGGTCAGTAATGTCTTCATTGCTAGCACAATCATGACTCAGACACATCTAAGAGGCCTCCATTGATGAAGTCTAATATCTGTAGAAGATGGATGATGCAAGAAATCGACAACAAGCATCAAAAATACATTGAAACCCAATTCACCCAACCTGTGGGAGAATGCATCCTGTAATGTGGAAAAGTGCCAGTGGATCACCTGGACCACCAAAAGTGACATGGATTTGCCTGAGTTGACAATGACTAGCTTGAAATAAAGAGCCAGGCAAGCAAAGTTGAGATATTTGAGTCAGCCTGACTGGGATAGGAGTGTTATGTTAGTTGCATCTCAAATTAAATTATCAAGAGCTTGAACTCACCATGCCTCATGGCAGCCTCAATCCTAAACACTCACAATCAGCCCTAAGCCCTCGCCTGCCATGATAAATGAGAAGTCATTTTGATTGGCTGGGTACTACCGTGCAGTAGGAGAGTCTCACAGCTATCTCATTTGTGTAGAACTTGCTAGTGAACCATGCAGCCGCTTCCACTGCCATGCGCAGAACGCACCCCCATTTCCTCTTCACATTCATAGATAAAGGCCACAAGCCAAGCCAGGTCAGCTGAAGATAATCTGTTTAATGGTTTTGGACATTCCAATGTGTAGGATAAAACATGGTAAGTGTTCTCAGCAGAACATTTGTTATTGAGTTATAGAACAAAAAAAAATACAGATTGCGACCAAATATATAGACTAAACTGCACGTCAAGCTAGCATGAAGCCCCCTGCAAACCACGCTCGTAAAGCAGGTCAGTACAGAAAACTTGATGCTGTAATACAACTACTTACAGCATCAATCTTTGCTGGGAGAGTTTGACTTGTCACTGTCATTGTCATACACATGCTTACTATGCCTTCCAAGAAATTGAGAGCTGATACAACTCCGAGGTATGTTTACCTCAATTCCAAGGTCCTCAACCATTCTGGTGACAAAAGTACTACCACAACAAGCCTGCTCCAGATGTTTCACAGCATTGGGAAGCTGTCCTTGGAATAGTTTGGCCTCTATTTGGCTTCTCCATGCTCTCATTTCCACAAACATCTTTTCTGCCTTACGCTCATCTTGAATAGCCACCGCAAAATCTAATAAATCTTGCAAGTCGGCGCCGTTGGTGCTGATATGCAAAAGAAAGGCCTTTAACACAAAGTACAGTGAGCCCTGTTGTAGCATCCATATACTTGTACTGAGGACTCGGATTGTAAACTCACTGGGGGTGCCACAGGGAAAAGCTTGTTGGGTGCTTGAGCACTGGCACTCAAATGGGAGTTATTGTGTGGACTCATAGCTGGAGAGTAAGGAGCTCAACCCGGAGAGGGCTGACCAGCAGGCTGTTCACTTTTAGCTCGAGCGGTGGGATAAGGTTGGGACATGGGGTGCTGCAAATATACTAGACTTGCTTCTTGAGGGATAAAATCTGTGTTGTTTTTGCTGTTAGTACGAAGTCAAACTCCTTATAAAAGGTGACTTGTGGGTACACATGCACATGTAGCCTTAGGCCAGGCTGGGAGAGATTTCAGACCCAAGGGACAGTGATGCATGCCAAAAATAATACATTTAACACTCAGGGCCTGCCAGTGGATACTCAAGCTGTGCCAACTTGAACCAGTACTGCCAGTACTGGTTCAAGTTGGCGCAGTATGGCCAGCCTGACAACTCCGAGTCGGCAAGTGAGTCACTCACACTGTTTTCATTGGAGTTCTTCAGGCTCATGCTTCAGGTCTACGATTTATTAACAGGTTATATGAAGCTTCTAGTCAATTCAACACACTCACTGGCAGCCTGAGTCTCCAAAATTATGCAGAATCAATGTTGTAGTAACCTCCATGCAGATCTGGATTTGGTGCCAATGCTTTGACGCCTACTAGAAGCGGACAATGTTCCTGGTGTTACTGACAAGTACTCCCCTGTTACTACTTGCAGAGGTCAGAGAGCACAAGGTACATAATTTGTTTCTTTTGCATTATTGTGATGTTTACCACTTATGGCTTGGTGAAAACTCCTCAAGTTCATCCATGCACACTAGGGAGCCCTTTAGTGGCCCTACTCGCTGCAAGCCCCCAAGACATCGACAAGCAAGGGAAAATTGGTGGTTCTTCATTCCTCATGCCACAGCATCAGTCAGTGTTCCTGCAGATTCTGTAGGTGAGGTAGTAGATACTATGGGTTTTGTGAATACTATGCCTGTTTGCGGCCGTTCTGACTCATCCGCTGCTTTCAGCAGCACCAGCAGTGGTCTCATTGAAGGAGGCCCTTCCAATAGAGCTGACACATTTCAGACTAAAGCATCAAGTACAATTTCTTACCAACACAATTTTTATCAATGCTAACCCTCTTTTACTCAATCTGTAGCTTCTTGCACTGCATTTTTGAATTATATTGTGAGCAGTTGGACTAGCGGGGTATTTAACTACTTGGAAGGTACGTCAAAATTCTTGCTATGACTAATTTGTACCCCTCACGTTGAAAATCAAAGATATAAATATGGCATTCTTAGACAGTCTCCAAGATATTGCTCCTATGTGGTGCATAGTTCAACTTACAGCTATACGGTATACAAATTCCAGCCTCACTTTGGATACAATGTTCCCGAGGAATTGTCTCGCGTTGCAGCTTGCTTTAAGGGCTGTAAATATGGGTATCGGCATTCATTGTACTGGAGAAAATTGTCATATAGAACACGGCGAGTGACAATTTGAGCTTAAATCTATGATGTACATTTATGGTCAGCTAACTCTGTATGTTTTAATACAGATGTGATGACACTTGACTCGGATCAGGTTTGAGAACCTTGTCTTCACGCAATAATAATATACCATCACAAAGTGATCAGTGCAATCTACAGATTTATCCATATATCTTCTTTTCAACTCTGATTCAGTGTTCCTGGCAGCCAGCGCATCAAAAAAATCCACCAGCATCAAAGTGCAAGCCCTCCTCAAGTGGAATCCAAGCACTGGATTCAGTTTTTTCCATACTAGTTATATGGATCTAGTATCTGCTGAGGTAATATCACCTTGCTCTTTTACTGATACTCATTAGATTAACCTTCACTTATTTGCAGAGGACTTCTACCGAGTCCAGTCTTGCTCTGGCCCAGGCTGGGTGTGACTACTTTGACCACCCGGCTTTCCTCCACATTTTGGATTCGCTATACTTTATGCAAAGCTCAGAACACTATATGGGAATAGTGAACCTCATTTTTAGTACTTCAGATTGGGTTCCTTTGACCCATATAACAAATGCAATAGTTGCTAATATTGCAGCATTGATATGTCAAGTCACTATTACGTCTCACTGGCAAAATATTCTACCCAGCTAATAGGAACTACAATAACAGGTACACTGTTTTATCACCCAATGGGCATCAGGCACCTGCAAGCCCTCGCTCTTGGACTTGACTGACACCGCTACACTCCATGATGTCAACAGAACAAGTGACCGGATCCTTCAGTGGTTGGATAGTGTTCTGTCATCTGCTCAAGTGGAGAGATATCACAGTGCATCAACTGAACAACCAAGAAATCCTATCACGGCCGCTGCACTTCTGTCTCTCGTACAAAAAATCTCACCAGAAGAAATATCCTGACAACTTTTAACATGTATATTGCAATAGTAGGAATAAGATAGCTTTGAACTATGCTAAGCCAACTCAGAGTACCTCTGGTAGTACTAATGCTTTTACTACACCTCCTCTGAATCATATTGGTAGCTAGGTGACCCAAAACCCTCTAGGACCGCTAACTGGTATGATAAGTCCGCTGTTCAATCTTGAATATCTTCTAATTGGCTGGATTTTGCAGCCAGAAGGTGCTTGAGCCTCAATACCTTAGCAATCAATGCATCCCAGTCCTGCGACTCTGAATCATCACTGATATTGGGCTCTGAGTCCGCATTTACACCATAATGAAGTTCTACCGGCCATTCAAGTAGCCAATTCAAACCAAAGTCAGCACTTGAGTCACTCTACAGTTGGCTAGGATACTTACCTTCTGAGGTTCAGGTTTCACCTTTGCTATCGTAAGGCCCATTGTAAGGCTTCCAAGTGAGTCGTAGTTACTATGATTCATAGTTCAAGGAGCACCTGTCCCTTATTTTGATTCCTACACATAGCAGATTCCACTGACTCAAATGAATAATGTGAACCTGGAACACAATTTTCTTCTTCAGGTAGGTTTACCCGTTTTTTCTTGAAGTTCCAAGCCTTCCCTATATTGAGATTAAACTCAGCCCTTCAATTTTTGGGATCATCCCTCATCCTATTCAGCAGTTCAAGTTCTGTAAAAAAACCAACCAAAGAGGTACTCTGTTATGCACCTTACAGTTATTTCCTGCCCTCTAATCTTGTTGTTAATCACTCCACTTGCAGTGTTATTGAGACAAAAAGTCAATGACTCGGAAGAGCGCATGCATTTCATAGATATTTGTAGTGCTTATTTAACATCTGACATGACTACCTTGTGACCTGGAAGAAACCACACAAAAACCCGAAGCTACCAGGAGCTCAGGCTAACAACTGCGGCGCTGTACTAGCATTTATGCCCAAGGAGTCACAAATGGATTTCCATTTCAGGAAGCGATCCCTCGAAGATCCAGCCATTTATCAGGAAAAACCTAATTTCCTTTTATAGCTATCATAGCTGTCATAGTGCTATATAGGGAAAATAGTAGCTATGGTATACCTAGACAAGTCCCTATTATATAGCTCTATATAGCAGGGCTATTTTGAGATGTTTGCTATACCAGCTATAGTATCATAGAAGTGATATATACAATCCATCTCTACTATGGCTGCTCTCATAGAATATAATAGATATAACAACCATCAATGGTTATTTCAGAATGGTCATATTATATATGTTCCACAAGCTTATCATAGTTTTCAAATTCTCTCAGTTTTGTTCACTATTATTATAGTTTCCATACTCTCTCAGTTTCATTCACTATTACTATAGCATCCTAGCCAGAGATCATATGCAGAGAATCTATTATAGTATATTTCTGATACCATATAATGACATGCATGTATCAACAATTATAAGGATGCTGAATCTTCAAGCGCTGCATAATCAACCTCATCCTCCCAGTTGTCCTCTTGTGTATTCAAGTACTGTAAATCACACTGTTGACTGTGTGTAATGTAATGCTTATGAGTGTTGTTCTAAAATAGTTTGGTAGGCTACTCATAGAATATTGTTGTAAGTGTTTTTACGAAACTGCAAAAACCACCTAGGAGCCTTCCTTTGTAGCTCTTCTAACCTGGACAGATAATATAAATATCTGATAAACACTTGTGAGTAAAGGTTGACGTAGAGTGGATATTGAATTTACCTGGGCCTGTAGACCTGTTCAGAGAAATTCAAGGTGGTGCGAACACCTTTTGCAAGTTCATGAAGATAGTTTTCAACCTGTGAGATATAGAGTGAGGAAAATTCATGTATATTACATTACAAACTCACAGCTGTAACAGCCAAGGCAATTAATGGCAAAGGTGAGTCTTTGAAATCACTTGGATGAGGACGCCCTCCCCCTTCTTATGGAACCACTGAACCTAAACTAGTAGCTTGATGATGCAATGTCCAAAAGGTTTTTGCTTATCATATGAATAAGTCTGAAATACATAGTCATAAAACGATTAAGAAGAGTACATATGAACACTTACAGAAACATCCAATCCACCAAATGTAAAAACACCTTTTCCATTACTCAACAACTACTCCACTATAGTATGTACTTCCTCTGGGAGCTTGTCTTTGATGGCGTATTCTGAGAGAATGAGTATCCTAGCCTTTTGTTTGACTTCACCTCTAAGCTGAGCTGCAGCCATCTACACCTGTTTAAAATTTCAATATTAGTAATATTGGAAGCATTGTTCTCACTCACATAATCAATGATTCTACTTTTTTTCTGCTCGTTCCTTGCATTCTCCAAATCTACTACGGTAGTCTTGAATAGTGAAGAAGAATTTGCAACTTTGATGATTGCATTCCAAACAAGTTCATGTCGTTCATCAGTACCTGGGAAGCCTTTTGCGGTAGAAAGAATGACACACATTTGAGAAATTCCTGCTTTAGCCAGCCTGGAGCTGGTATGGCTAAAGCTAGTGATAACGGCCTGTGTAGAATATAAGCCTTATAATCTTTCAACATATTGCACACTTACCTTGGAATCTCTGGAAGGTGTTAATGAAGGAGAACTATTGCTATTCCTTTTATGCTTATCGTTAACCAACCGGACACTTTTAGCTGGAGATGCAGTAATCTGTATCTGTATATGTGGATCAGTGAACTAGAAAAAAAAGGTAAAACTCACATCAGTATGCAATGATGACACCATTTGTTTGTAGCAAGGATTGTCCAGCTCCTGCATCAATGAAGGTGAGGGAGTAACTTGCTGTGAGCTTTCTTCTGATGATGCTGCATTAGTAAAGCTTATAGCTAAGGTTGAGTTACTTGCCTGTCAAGCATCTAAAGGTCTGCATCAGAGCATCTTCATCTTCATCTTCTAGTTCCTCTTCCATGCTATTCCTGGCCCTCTTATGAAGAGGTTCATCTTCCCTATCAACATCAGGCCTATCCAAGTCTTCTTCTTCCTCATCATCTTCAACCTCCACCATGTGAGCTACTTTCTGACGAATATCTGGGAAGTGTACTATGTAATGGACATGATACATAACACATATTAAATGACTCACCTGCTAGCCTGTTAGCATTTGCATCCTTTCTCCTCATCGTCAAGGGGGGGATATCATTGGGTGCGTCATTTCCCTTCATTAATTCAGCATAGTTTGTAAATGAAAAAAAAAAAAACTCACTTTTGTACAATGGTGGTTGTACCAAGAGAAATGTAGAGCTTCAAATGTGAAGCCTTCACCTTCAACAGCTGAGTCTACATGATGTGGAGATGTGGTGGAGCCTAGGCAGGACTGGAAGTTAGGCAGGAGAGTGGTGTGAATTGATTCTGGCATAGAGCTGTTTAAAAATAACATGAGCAAATCATCACTGTTTTTCAAGAGAAGAGGGATAGAGGGAACTATTGAGGATGGTATATACAAGTATGCTGAGGGGTCTGTACAAACACCCCCATCATAATGTTTCTGTATCTAAGAACAAGTATTTAGTATTGATATTGTGTACACTACATACATGATAATGACATACCTTGGCTGTCAGGTACTCCACATCTGTGACCTTGATGGCTCAACTTGCCCTTTCTCTTTCTGATTCGGTCTACTCGTAGTTATCGCCAGGATCCCGCGGTGCAGAGTATTGGCGATTGCCTTCAGCCATATTCTGGAATGTTGTGCTAACCACATACCTTTCAGGGAGGACAACTGGTGGTAATGATGGTGATGGTGGTTGAGAACAAGGCAGGATGTCGTCAAGATCGGATAAGGGAGTCAGGAAGCGTCCTGAAGATGTTGTACCTACACCTCAGATAGCCTGACCATGACAATGTATGGGTACATGAGCTATGTCTATAGTGTGCATACAGACTCCCCAACAATCTAGACAACAATCCAAGAGTTGGAAAGTACTACAAAAAACCAAAAAAAATCAGAAACTGTTAGGATCAAATGATTATAACGTAGTTGAATCGGATAGCCTTAGAAAATTGATCAGAAGCCTCAAAGTTTGTGCAATCAATATTGGCAGGAAGGCCATAAAAACTGAGCACACTAGGTGCGAACATGCAGTTCATGTTCAGTGGCAGGTTTTGGCATAAGCTAGAAATAGTTGGGATGATTCTACTAATCACCAGCTGTCCACTAACAGTAGCTGCATAACATTGTTTAGTTAGCATACACGCAGTAAAAAGTAGTACACTTACATTCAACTGGCCACCTAAAGACATTGGCTATCTCCCATGGCATTGTTCCATCCATTTCACCAAGTTGAACCTGTAAGTTCAAGCCTGCAACCAAAACAAGGGCATAGATAGATCCTACATAGATCTGTAAGTATGGTTTAATGCGGACAAAGGTAATCTTACCACTGGCTGCTATGGCTGCAAACTTGCAGCCCATAGCATGCCGTTGCTCAGACCGTTTCTTAGATGGCTTAGGCTGAGGGAGATCCCTCCAAAGGTTTGCCCGGGAGATACCTTGCTGAGAGCAAAGACTAGCATACAAACATAAACATCAAAAAGAAATGATAATTACTCGTAACAATTTTCACTTACCTTTTGGGACTTGGCAACGAGCTGGATGTAGCTAATCATCAGCAAAAAGTTGACACCTATGTCTTTACTGGTCATGCGCCAACAGAAGCCAAAGACTTGTCCAGGTAGTCATTGGTGGACGTAACAGAGGTCAACAGGGAGTTGACAGAGTGCGCCCACTCTCCTGAGTTGAACATTGAGGAGCCTTTATGTGCAGCTGCAAGTCGTGCTACGAAAGTGTTGATGGCCGAGTTGATCCTAATAGCAGGGTCATTGACTGCTTGCCACAGAGATTGCTGGACAGCAACTCCACCCCTTGGACAAGGCTGTTGATGTGCAGGAGCTGGAGCAGGGGCAGGAGCAGGTTGTCAACATGCAGGAGATGGAGATCAACAAGATCAATGTGCAAGAGTAGGAGTAGGAGCTGCAGCAGCATACGGGTGTTGACGTGGTTGGCATCTTTGTGAGCGTATCACCGCCAGAGATCGTTGCAGAGATTGATTGGTCTGCAAGTTGGACTCGTCAGCTTGAGTTTTCTGTGGAGAAAAAATAGTCAGTAACATTGGCATTAGGAGGGGAGAGCCAACATACCTGTTACGCACGAAGTGCTTAACAAAGTCTGAGGGTTCGTCGAGGTTTGTAAAGAGACTTATCCGAAGACAAGTTCGAGAACGTAGTTCTGAGTGGAGGTCTTCCAACGGGAGTTGGTCTTCTTCTGAATAGAAGTCTGATCTTAGGAGTCTAGCTTTGTAAGCGTAAACTGTGTAGAATCGTATTAGAGAATACTACTGCTGTTACATGGTATTTATAAGGGAAAGGAATCGGTGATAGGAGTTAGGTCCTATCTAGGGCAGGTCCGTCTGTTGAGGACTAAGTACTATAATAGGTACTGTGAATGCAAGAGGAACGGAAATGTACGTGAAGGAAATGAGTCATCGGTCCAATGGTATAACCGATGAGTAAAAAGAAATGAGTAGTCCTTAAATGTCCAATAGAGATCATAACAATACCTCTTCACCAAAGCGGGCTGGGGATGATGTTGTTAGGCCTTGATGCATGGTGACAGAAGGTGGGCTGTCAGAGAGTGACAATGGAACCATTGAGGATGGAGCCACTTTGTCCAGCAGTGCAGAGAGGTCAGCAGGAGTGAGCATGCTTAGGATACCCACCAGTTGGGCGTGAAAATCCATCAGCTCTGTTGGCAGTGGTTGCTGACCCAGTATCCGAGCGAGGATCTTGACCTGTAGTGCCAAAATCGTAAATCTGTACATCTTCAGTATACTACAAAGACTGTGGGAAAATGTATGGCAGCCTGACCTTGGTTACACAACAATATGATAAGGTGTTGCAATGCTGATAATGTCAAATCAGCAATCTGCTGGACCATGCGAGAATGGACGGTCAGACTGTCCATTCTCACACGGTCCAGTATTGTACCTGCAGAGATAAGATTAGACGAGCCTTGCGAGAATGGATGGTCAGACTGTCCATTCTCGCACGGTCCAGTATTGTTGTTCCAGCAAAGATAAGATTAGATCACCCAATGAGCCGTGAGAGAATAGACAGTCAGACTGTCCATTCTCTCATGGCTCATTGGGTATTCATTATTGCAATCATATGTGGTGAATGCTGATACTGAGGTGGAATGAACAGAGACTTACTATTTTTCTCATAGTAATTATTGGCTTTTCGCAATAGCAACCTGTTGATTCCATACAGTGTGAGAAAAGAGATCAGCTGTTGTCCCCTTTCTCACACTGCATGGAACAATGCAACTGCACACGTTCAACTGTGGATGTGGGCGGCTCTCTGCTTATTATCTTTTGAATCATTCTCTTCCTTGCCCGCCCGCTTACACCTACATATTGGTGCAAATATTTAGATATAAAGTGAGTTTCCTGGGTTTTTTTAAACTACTTACTTGGTTGGCTGAGTACTGAGACATATTTCAAAAACGCACCTGTCCCCCATGTACGCAATATCCTCCACTTCCACTGGAAATGGTGCTACCTACTGGTATACCCCCCCTATTACTTGGTCAAAGTCCCCCCCCGGACCAGAGGGTAAGTCAGTTATTTAATTTCAAAAAATTACCTGATGGCAATGCACAGCTACTCAACAACAATCTTTTGCCACTCCCCCAAGTAATCTATCAACATCCACTCTTTCAATGTCCACCCATACTGCACTAATCACTACATCTGAGGATCAAGTCCAGCCTATCATTGAGCAAATTGTTAGGAACTTGAAGTATAATTCTCAGGACGTATATGTCCAGGTGAGAAATCATTGTCTGGCTATATTCCTGATCTGATTTTTCCACCTAGCAATTCTATATTGAACCATCAAGTTTTCCTGAGTTTGTGGACAAGCTCAGAGAAAGTGACTACAGCACTCTAAGGTATGCTTTTTTGTGAGTGAATATACTGTACTTATGTCCTTACTTCCAGATATACGTATGACTATGTGAAAGGCATCTTTCAACTGAGCATGCCTACTCCTGTACATGAAGTTTTCATCGAGCGCCTCAGTGAACTTTTACAGGGGGAACTGTCAGGCCTTATCAGATGGTCAGATGGGAAGTTCAAGTTGAGTTCTAATACATCCAAGTTCCTCCGGCAAGGTTAAATCACCACTGTACCCGGCTTAGCCCTCAAGTTCTAAAGCCTCAACCCTAGCACTGAGTGGCAGGACTTGTTCATTGTTGAGGTCTCCCACTCCCAATCACTTGGGGATGTCACCCAGAAGGTGAAAAAGTACTGGTGAAAAAGTACTGGGAGGAGCTCCCCCACCTTGTTGGCATTCTAGTGGTTAAATTCTACGAGTCCCACAAATATGCAAAGCCCCAATATGGGTACGCTGAACCCGTCAACATGCAGTATTGGTACAACTTACAAAAGGACAACAATATCAAATATGGCCCTCTGAGGACAGCTGACAGCATAACATGGGCGGGTAGATTTGTGGTGGATATGTACCTGTATGAAAAGGACCCAAAGGTTGTAGGGAAGGAGGGCTATGCACGGGATCTTCCTATGCCCGTAGTACTGGTGCGTCCCCTCTTGATCACAACCTTCTTTGACTAATATAATATATGTACAGAGGGTGGTACCTAATATAGATGTGGGCCAACTCTATCCCACTCAAGCCCAGAGAGACGAATTCAACAAAGTTTTCAATTGTGTTATTACCAGGTCAATTTTGGAGATGGAGAAGATTATGAGGAGTGCGCCCCAGACTGTTGCTAACCTAGAAGCTGAAAGTGCAGCTGCTCAGATAGCAGCGCTAGAGGTTGCTACCCAGGATTTGATAGCAAACCGCACTGGTCATCCTCTTCAGACTGGTACCCATCCGAGCACGCCCACTACTACTCTACCTACTCCCCATTTGCACCCCCAAGTATTGCCTAAAGAGATATCTCCCATTGATCTCTCAGTCTTCAATATCCAGCTGGATTTTGACAATTTTCTTCAGGCTTTTCAAAGATCTGTAGCTGATCTGGCACATAGACGTTTTCAGGATCATTATAATGCCCCCCGAAGTCGTGCTCAGGCAGCTAGGAGAAGGAGTTCTTTTTACTCTGAAGAAGAAGTGGGTCGGCTTGTTTGACAGAAATTGGGTGTAGGTAGCTCCAGCAACAATATCACAAGGAGGAAGGAGGAAGTGAAAAATGGACATGGACAACATTATATATATTACTTCTCTTGTTCTTGTACTCTGTGCTTGTAAACAATATTGTACTTAGACATGTACAACTTCTATTTGTATTAAAACAAGCAAATTCTATGTTTTACCACTACGTATTTCCAATTTGGGATATTGCCGGTGCAGATTGAGGTGTTGCATCTTGACAGCATATTTACAAACGGGTCCTAGATAATCAAAGGTATCAATTTCATATTAACTGGTGTTATTATTTCATAAACTGACTGGATGTGTGTGGTGTAATATAGGTTCCAGGAAAAAATGGCACACATAGCAAGTATGGTTGATCGCACATGTCCTGCATGTGGAAAACTTTTGAAAACACCACAAGGTGTCATGGCTCACCCATCAATGTCAGTAATGTGTGCTTGGTATAGGAAAGGAAAGAGAAGAGAACTTGAAGCAGACAACCTAGGCCCTGAACAAGTAGTATTTGATGAACTCAACTTGGATGAAAATGTTTAGGACCAAGAAGATTATGACTCAGATGGGTCAGAAGATATATTCCTCAACAGCTTACAAGAACCATTTAACAATTTCCTGAATGATCCTGCAATGCAAGGCAACACCCAGGATAACTTGAACCCTGACCCAGAGATGCAGGCTGGCAGTTCACATCACCCCCACTCCCTGCACTTTAATCTGGATGACAATGATGATGATGATGAAAGAGTAGTGGAACAAAATGAGAATGCTGGCAAGGTTATAAGGGTGGATCTGGATGCTCATAATAAATGGAGGGAGAGTTTTCACCAGTTCCATCAAGATGATGATGAAATGGATGTTGATCTTCCAGATAATAGATGGGCTCCATTTTCCACAGAATTAGACTGGAAATTTGCACATTGGGCATTGCAGGAGGGGGTTGGCCAGAAATCTCTTAACAGATTACTGGCAATTCCTGCCTCCACACTTTGATTCATGTTTTATGTTAACTGACCTCCAACCTTTACGCCAGCTTTCCCAGAGACTGGGCCTTTCTTATCAAAATAGCAAAAGCCTTCTAAAAATTATTGAATCCAAAATTCCTGAAAGGGCCAAATGGCACTCAAAATATCTACACTGTGATGATCATCCAGAAGAAAAACACCTTATACAGTATTGAGACCCCTTACAAGCCATTGCATCTTTGTTGGGCAATCCAGCACATGCGACAGACATAGTCTATAAACCCTCAAGGATATTCACAAACAGCAACAGGGATGATCATATATTTAATGAGATGTGGACTGGGAAATGGTGGCATTCTGTATAGGTTAATATATTCACGCCAGTGGTTCCTTTCTAAATTTCATACTTATTTCTTTGATTTTAGGCTCTTCTACCTCAGGGAGCATCTGTTGCTCCTGTTATAATGGCAACAGACAAAACTCAGTTGACTCAGTTCTCAGGCGACAAGTCTGCATATCCAGTGTATCTTACACTAGGCAATATACCCAGCTCTATTAGGTGCAAACCTTCTCAGCACGCTTATGTACTTATTGGATATCTGTCTGTCAATAAATTGGTGGAAAAAGGCTTGATGACAAAGGAGAAGACAGCACATATTCAAAGACTTTTCCATGCCTCAGTACAGATGATTTTGGAGCCACTTATTGGGGTTGGACGTAAAGGAATGGAGGTTACAGGTGGAGATGGTGCAGTGAGAAAAATTCACCCTATTCTTGCTTGCTATGTCACCGACTATCCTGAGCAATGTCTGGTGACTTTCTCAAAGTATGGAACATGTCCCAAGCGCAGGCGTCCAGCAACAGACCTTGAAAATAAAGCAGCTGGGGAACCTAGGACGTCTGACTGGACTCTCTTTGTCATTAATCAAGCCTCATCTTTGAACTCAAGGAGAGAATTTTTTGATCAATGTATGGATAAAGATGTATCTGGAGGTGTTTACAGGCCATTTTGGGAAGGATTTCTCTACTGTGATATTCATCTTTGCATTACCCCCAATGTCTTGCATCAGTTATATCAAGGTGTTGTTAAACATATCATCTCATAGTGCCAAAATTTTATGGGTACAGAGGAACTGGATGCAAGAATACGCACTTTACCTCCTGCATATGGATCAAAGCATTTCAAAAATGGTTTATCGCCTCTTTCTCAGATATCTGGAGGCGAAAGAAAAGATATGGCCAAGGTACTTTTAGAATGCCTTGTAGGAAAACTCCCCAAGCAGGCAATCATTGCAATTAGATCACTCTTGGACTTCATTATATTGCTCAGTACCCCACACACAACAATACAACCCTTGGATATCTATCAGATGCTCTCAAAACATTTCATCAAAACAAAGCAATTTTCGTCACTCTGGGTGTTAGAGAAAATATTAATATTCCTAAATTTCACTCTCTACTACACTATGTCAACTCTATTTGCTGGTTTGGGGCTACAAATAACTACAACACAGAAATGTTTGAACGTTTCTACATAGACATGGCCAAGGATACATGAAGAGCATCAAATCATAGGAATGAGCATCCACAAATGACCACCTGACTAACAAGGCAAGAAAAAACTGTGTAGTTTGAATGCTATCAATTGTCTTTACAGAATAGACCAGTTCTACGTCAGCAAGATATTCTCCAGAATTCATCTGGCTTAGGTATTAACATAGCCAAAGTATCTCCTCTTCCACAACAACCCCTTCAATCAATTCAACAAAACCACCAATGTCATGGCTTCATACATGATATCAAGGAGTTTCTGAATTGCCTAATGCATGGTCAGCCAGGTTATATGTCCAGAAATCAAGTCAATATTGCAAATCTCCCATTTGATTCACTTGACATATTCACTAGTTTCAAACTCACTCCAATTCACCTTGGAGATGATGCTAGTGCAAGTGTAAAGTACAAAGTCATCAAAGCAAGACCTAGGTCCAAAGGAATTGCTCCACAGTTTGATAATGTTGTCGTATTAGACTCATTAAAAGCAGAGTCAACAGGTGTTGCTGGTAATATTTTCCTCTAATTTTATGATCAGTTTCAAGTTGTGAATTAATATTTCAGGACATAGGTACACGTGTTGGAAGAGTTAAAGTAATATTAAAGCTCCCTGCCATTTTTCATGGTGGTTCTGTTCGCATACCAAAACGTTGGCCCAAAATTCTATTAGCGTACATTGAATGGTACACCAAGTTGAAAGGTAGTGCAGATCCAGCACATATGATGTATGCAATTATAAAATCTGCACTTAGAGCTGATGGTACTCCACCAGCTTCCATAGTACCATTGAGCAGTATACGACAAGGCTGCCACTTGTTGCCTTTGTTTGGAAAAGATCAAGTGCCTGCTCACTGGGGTACAGAAAATGCTTTGGATGTTTGTGATAGATTTTTATTAAATAATTGGGCTAGTTTGTATGCATACCAAACTATTTGGTGAATATTAATTCTATCATTATTAGTATCAGAAAAAGGTTCTCATAGACATAAATGAGCTGGTATAGCTGGTATAGCTGACATAGTAACTATGAGGCTTCACATAGAAATTTATTGGCTATAATAGGAATTTAATAGCTATCATAGCAGCTATAGAAACATACTCAGCTATATAGCAAAATAGTTTTTCCTGATGTTCATGATGGCGGCCAGTATGTATGTCGGGTTTTATTTCCTTTTCAGCTTGAATGGCCTTCAAGTACCAAAAAGTCAACTTGATTATATCCAGTAGACATGTTCTCAATACCAGTCTGACCTCATTACCTCAAAAAGCTTTTGTTATCCCAGGTACTACATTTTTTTGTTTTGGTATTTCACTCAGGGTTTTGTTAGGTCTTCTTTTCTTCACAGCCACCAAGTACCAAAAAGTCAATTTGCCCCATGGGTAGGCCCCCCTATTTTACGCATTTGTTATAACTACCTTATAATCATCTTGCTGCCGGCATCATATCATGGCAGGTTACGGCTTTTATAAATGTTTTAGGCCACACCACCTACTCAAGAACAGCCTCTATGTTCCAAAAAGTCCTTCAAGAGGAGATACCACTTGTGCAGTACTAAATGTCATATGGTCACTGTAGTAATGTGCATCAGGTAAAGTCATCTGCCATTGATTTTCCACCTTTTGTATCTATGTCTGACAACGAAGGTGACAGGGAATACTGGCGTAGTTCGGAGAATAACAAGCGTGGACAAAGTTCTGCCTTGGAGCAGCGATGCCAGCAGCTATCCTGCCAGTGCTTCACTAGGCAAAGTACTTGCTAATGTTTGACTTACTATCTGTACAGTTCTATCCAAGGTCCTATCGTCCATTATGGACGCCATTTTGGGCGAGCAATATATGCATTCTGTAATGTCCAGAGCCTTATCAAAAACAGTTTCAAACATATGGTTTCAGACAAGCCCGAAGAGAGCTATACAGCTGAGTATGAGACTGTTTTCTTTCTCTGTATTTCCATTCATCCACTCCTTAATTTCCAGGGAACATAAACAAGAAGCTGTATATTTAGAGCTGCTTAAAATTATTCCAAGGCTGGAGAAAGATTTGATGAGAGAAAATTCCTCTGAGGAAGAAATAATCCATATTGCCGACTTAGTATGAACATTTTTCTTACCACAATATACTCTTACAATAATTTGTTTCACAGATTCAAAAAAGTGCCAATGGGGCTAGGGCAGACAATACAAAAGGTCTCAAAGGCGCATTCATTGATTGGATCACTTTTAAAGGTCAAGCACTTTCACTTTACATTCATTGTAATGTGAAGACTGGTTGTGAATTCAATCACGAGCTTATGAGGGCTCTTCTATGCCCAGCAGGGATGGATTGGTCAAGCTTAGAGTGAATTATTCAACTTGTCTTTGATTTGATGTATTGATTTGTTGTTATAAGAATTAGAGAAAAGCTTGTCAATGGCCAAATTCAAGTCTCAGGAGATCAGTGGCCAATAATGCTGTATGCTAAATACCAGTCGGATGATCCTTGGGAAGGTTTATTGAGAAGCAGTCTTCTTATAAATATGAATTCTTTGATTATACTACTATTCTGGAACTCTTTTATAGGTGTTCAAGCATATTTTTACACCGCCCAGCTCCGTCAATCAAGAGCCCAAGGCCACACGCTCTGGAAATGCCCGCATGCTGTAACATGAGCCTTCATTGCCTATGTGGCTACATAAATAAGCTATGGCACCTAAATGTTCTAAAGATCACGCCTTGATAAGATGACTTGAAAATATAGGTTCATTTTGCACTAACTTTAGCACAGGTGTTTTCACGGACAGGTCTTACCACTGATTCCAAGCATTTCTACAACAGCATCCTGATCTTGTTGGATGATCCAGAGGAGTGTGAGAAAGTCGAGTCTTGAATGAATTAGTGGAATCGGTCAGTATTATCACTAGGCTGTTGTTTTATCTTGGTGTAGTACTGACTTCCTGTTTGTTAGCCAAGTTTTTCCTGTTTATTGTGCTACTGAAACACTACCATCAAAACACAGTGCACTTGCAAAAATATGTGAGCGGCAAGCTGCTTTGAGGGGTGGGGGTATAGGCTTAGCATGGTGCAGAATTAGCATACTGCTACAGAGTCATCCCACTCAATTTTAATGGGAGGAGGGTTAACATAGTCAACCTCGGACCTTGTAGTACTGTTAATATCTAAATATGACTCTAATATGAAACAATTGCTCTTCACTCTCAAAAATGGCCCCATCATAATTTTGGTAGCAGCCAGCAAACCCGGTGTACGGCCACTGAGCATACATCATAATTACTGGATACAATGTATAATCCTGTCACAGAAGATCATCTCACTGACACTGCATTATCATACTTCACAGTCTGTTGCATAAAGAGAGTTACTGACATATATGAACTGTATGACAATATAGCTGAGAAGTAGCATCAAACTCTGAAGTCAGCTTGCCACCAGAATAAGAATATTTGGTATTATGAGAAGGTGTGAAATCAGGCTATGTCCTAAGCATTTGCTAAGCAAGTCTGTCTATATTTTCAGATATAGCACCCTTCTGATATACTACAAGACACATAATCATGAGCCTTTGGTAAGCAACTCTATCTATATTCCTATATTTTCAGATATAGCACCATTCTGATACTACAAGATCCATATGCATAACCATGAGAAAAAATATTGCCGCTTTCAAGTATCCCAGCAGTTACACCACCAAAGAAGCTATCATACAAGTTGTATAATGCTGACAATAGTGCATCTTAGAGGTAAGCTGAAGACCAGCGGGAGCAGACTGGTGAATTTGGTAATTTGTGACATGCCTCCCAGAGGTTATGGTGTATTGTCCGCAATGCTAGAGTTGATCACTCAAAAAACTGCTGCTGCAACTTTGTTGGGTGTGATAATTGTGATGTATGTTGTGGTTTCCAACAACTCACCCAGTAAATATAAATCATTACATTATGATCCATCAGAATGATATATCATTGAGACATGTCAAAGTTGATAACAATTTACAACTGTATACATGATTCTGTTGGACTCTCACTGATTTCCTGATGCAGCCATGAGCATATACACTATCATTGATTCCTTACAGCAAAATCATGTTACAATTATTTTGCTGGTTGAGGAGGTTCTGCAAAACAAAAGGCCAGAATATCATTCAATTTGTCAGTTACTTATGAAAGAGGCTGATTTGATCTGTACTTGCCTCCATCATAATCCCCTCACACAAGCCAGTGTCACTGCTTGCACTATTGTCTGTAAAACAGACAATATGTGGTGAGCTACAAGAATTGACACAAAAATGGTGGAGTTTGCACTTCCAAGCCACAACATCCACTTCAGAACAGCTAGAAGGATTATTCATGCAAGATATTGCTGAAAGAAGGAGTGCAGCAGCACCAAACCTTTGGAATTTCCAAATCTGTACCCTCAAACCATCACTACATGGCAAAACTGCAGATCTGGACATAAACATAGAATCACTAGAGTTCAGAGACTCTGAATAGGATATGGGTGATATTGGAGTTGAAAATATTGCAGTGGTGAACAGTGGAGTTGAAGATGAAGAAGCTGATGACCATAGCAGTGGGGAGGGAGGTACAAACACTTCAAAAAGCGGTCAACTCATGCTAGTGAAAGGAGCTCAGTGTTGGTAAAAATAGTAGGCCAAAATGATAGCTAGATCATACCTGATAATATATTGAATACATTATTCAGTGAACTGTGGTGTGCATCAGCATGCTCTTGCAGAGTGTTAACCAACGATGCAACTACTTACAAGGCATCCTTGGTATCTTCTACCATTCAACTTGTGTCCCGAAGAAGGTTATTGATGTCCTGAGCCATGCTGATCTGTCTATTAGTATGGCATCCATATTAAATGCAGTCAACTCCATGTCCAGAGAGGCAAGCCGGCAAATCAAACATGCTGTGCGGTCCCTAAATAGTTTATTTGCATATAATAACTTCAACATCAATTTCAAGACAGGACAACCTATCATTGAACACCAAAATACATTTATACACGCAACATCTGCAACTATAGTGCCGCTTTTTGGTGTAGACAATTCAGAGGCCCTGCGGTGTTCAGCTGAACTCTGGAGCTGTGATCCTCAAAATCCATCATTAACAGCACTACCTTGGCCCACAAATTCTGATGATATCTTCCATTTTCACATGGAAGACACATACAGTAAACAAAAACCTGGTGAAAAGCTCAGCCCTTGTCTGGCTGCTTTTGCATGACATATGCAACACATACTTGTACACCAGGGAAGGGGCTTTTCTCAGTTTAAACAGATCCTTGGAGAGCCAGCAGCCATACAGAAAATACTGCTGCATAAAACTGAACAGGTTCCCTGTCATTCAATGAATATCAATCAATCAACAAATAATGGGAATATTGAAGTGATGGAAAACTTACTGTGACAAGGTGGCATTGGAGATCTTACTGATAAAGCCCTTGATCTAGAAAATGATGCTAGTATGTCCGAGCATGTTTTGCTGGTCCATGGTGATCTCCTCATTTGATCTCCTCATAAGGAAATGTCTTGATGTGGTCCGGGATTCATGTTGTATTGAAAAAACACCAAAAAACCAGCTACAATATATTGTTTTTATGCCTGGGTTGTTTCACTACAAGATGGCAGCTGCTGATGCACTTTAGAGAGTATACATCCATCCAAAGGAGGGAAAAGAGGATGAAAATAGTTTTTTCCAGCATATTGGTATCCTGCGTCCAAATGAAAAAAGCACATTTGCAAGTAAACACGGGTTCATGATATTATTTACCATGACCTGTGGGCATCAATGCTTGACTGATGGCTGTTGAAGCTAGGAAGAGTAACTCACAGTTGTTGTCACTTAAAGTATTTTGGAATCCAATCCATCCTGGAATTTGATTGTCAAAATTTCAAAGTCCATTGTTCTAAAATATGTTGCCAGTGGAATAATGACACACAATGTTCACAAGAAAACACTAGTTAACTGTGACTAATGAAAACCTGCTTCTGCAAAACCGGGATGAGTTGTTGTATATTGATTTGTGTCATGCAATAAACACAGTGTAAGGAATCAATTTTTCTATTGCATTCCCATCATGTGATGGCTATTCAACCTGTTCCCTATCACCCCTCTTGCTATTGAATTGGAAGTCATAGCCGGTACTCTATTACTTTTATCTTTCTTCTTCTTGTTTTCCTTTCACACTCATAACCTATCATACTTACAACATAGAAGACTCCTCTCTAACCCTCGAGAAGATATCCCAATGATGTAGCATTAATAAAAAGCTATGCCCGGGAATACTTTGGCGAGAGATTAATCAGCAATATAAGCTGTGACTCAGCACCTTCTTATGGGTTTACTGATCCAGCCAATTGTACATCTCTTACTAAGGATTTCTCCCACACAATTAGTAATTACAATAGATCATACTATTCCCTCCTTTTTCTTATTGGCTAACTGTTTGGTTAGACCACTCTTGATTTCTTTATTCCCTTTGGACTGACCTCTGCAATTCATTATATTCATTATATAAAGAGTATATACTGTGACAACACTAACAAGACACAGCCTTGGGGCACTGGAGCACAACAAAAACAACACTCAGAAGAAGAGGAAGAGGTGGGAGTGGTTACCCATTTGGCAGGACCAAGTTAGTTGTTGGTAGACAACAGGAGGACTCGCTAAGTCCTTCCCCATGTTTTGCTCCTGTATATATACTAAAATACATGAGGTACTGTACAGTTGTAAATAAAGTTTAAAGTCTGATGTTTAGCATATGACCAGTCACATGGTGAGCCTAGATACTGGTCAGGTGATGTGTCACATGACTGGTTATGTGACTATGAAAAGTCCAAAAATGTAAAGTAAAGTAAATGGTCACATAACTGGTCATGTGACTTGGAAAAAGTAAAAGTAAAAGTACAAAAGGTGAAGCGTAAATAGGTGCTGGTATGTTAATTGTAACATATACCCAATGTATTATTCCTTAGTTCAATATTAGTTTGGATTCGTGCCTATACAGATACTCTTCAATCACAATACTCTGATCCACCACCTTTCCTCAAGGATTTTGGTCAGACATTTGTTATTGTTATATAGCTTTGTATTTGTTGC